GTAGAATCATTACCGTCAGGCTTTTTGCTGTAAACACTGTCTTTTCAGAGAAAATGCATTCTTTACATTACATCCTAGTGATAACTTCACTGGCCACTCCTTAGATGGCTGTTAGAGATCCTTCCTGGGTCATGGCTGCCTAAAATGCATCCAAACATTCAGTGTCTCCTCCCTCTGCATGCAGTCACTGAACTTTCCTCATAGAGATTCATTGATTCAATTCATCTCTATGAGGAGATGCTGATTGGCCAGGGCTGCGTTTGAATCATGCTGGCTCTGTCTCTGATCTGCCTCTTTGTCAGTCTCAGCCAATCCTATGGGAAGGCATTGTGATTAGATCAGGCTACCACTTCTGATGATGTCAGCAGACTGCTTTTTTTTTTTTTTTTAAGGCAAACAGCATGCAGATCTACAGCTTCAGGCTTGAATACAGTAAGATTTTGCTATATTTATGGAGGCATGAGGAGCCCAGGGGGACTAGATTGTGTTTTTAACACTATAGGGTCAGGAATACATGTTTGTGTTCCTGACCCTATAGTGATCCTTTAATCTAAGAAAGGGGCCCCAAAATTTCTGATGGCAGCCTTGGATGCGTCTTTAAACTACTATAAATGTGTTTAGATATCAGTCTTGTTCTAAGTTACTCTTGTTCTAAGTTACATTTTAGTTGCATTTATGGTTATTAATACAACACATAACACCAGCTCCACCCCCATGCCACATCCAACGATGCACCCCTAACTAAAATTAAAGTGTCCCTTTCTGTCTATTTGAAATCTTGGGATGTGGTTACCTAACATCCATGGTGGGGCAAAGTGAAGTTGCAAATTGCAAGATATCACCCATCTCTTTCATAGGTGGGCTAGTGGAACACAGTACCAAAAGCCCACCTTATAGTCCTATTACTTTCCACTTCAAAGCACAGCACGTGAGCTCTTATAGTGGTAGCTATTTTTAGTGCTTAGACTGACCCTTTAACTGACCCAGTCTCCAGTTGTTTGTTTTGTCAATATATAGTTGAATAGAACAACTGCAGCAATTACGTTTTATTACATAACAGAAATGCACTGTTTATTTACAATTATAGATCATTGCAGAATGGATTGAAAGCTGTCCTGGGCAGTTTAAACCTAAGGGAAACAAAAACAAGAATATTTTTTAATAAGCTCTTAAAACATACGTTAGGTTCATATCAATTATTTTCTTGGTTATTGAATGGGATTTTATTATAGAAATATAATTAAACCAATGGCCTCCTTTTATTAAAGCGGCACTGTCATGCCGAATCCCGTTTTTTTTTTTTTAACCCGCCTCCACTACATCCAATTGACCCACTAGTCACCCCCAAATGCCCCTAAGCCCCCCACATTACCTATTTTTTAATCCTTATTTTCTGCCCCGATCTTGATTCAGGGCGCCGCCATCTCTGTGTGGGTAGGTGAAGTCCCTGTGGGACACGTCATCAGCCCACAATAGACAGACTGTGAGATTCCCGCACATGCCCAGTGAAACACCTGGACATGCGAACGGGAATTTCATCTATTCATTCATTCATCAGACAGACGAATGAGTGAATAGAAAGATCAGCCGAACAAACTAACACAATGTATCAGTGTATCTGAGTATCAGTGTATGTTTGTTCGTTCAGTTTATTACAAGGAGGGAGCTACCGGCGTGCAGCTCCCTCCTTGTAATATGTAACTATAGAAGCGGCAGGGAGCAGTGCTCCCCGCCACTTCATAAGCCTCCAGGTCCCCCGCTCACTCTATGGGGGTCAATATGACCCCCATAATACCACAAGGGAGATTAAAATCTCCCAAATGCCCCTACTCGCTATACCGCGAGTAGGGGCATGTCTACTAAACAGTGAGCAGCCTGTGGCTGCTCACTGTTGAAAAAAAAGACATAAATTACAATAAGGGGGGGCGGACCTATTGTCCTCCCCCCCTCCCCCACCCTGCGCGGTGGGTGGGGGCCCTAATAAAACAATAAGGGGGGACGGACCTACTGTCCTCCCCCCCTGGCCCCCACCCCTGAGCGGTGGGTGGGGGCCCTTATAAAACAATAAGGGGGGGGACCTAAATAAAGATATGGGGGGAACTTCTGTTCCCCCCCCGGCCCCCACCCCTGCGCGGTGGGTGGGGGCCCTTATAAAACAATAAGGGGGGGGGACCTACTGTCCTCCCCCCCGGCCCCCACCCCTGAGCGGTGGGTGGGGGCCCTAAATAAAGATATGGGGGGAACTTCTGTCCCCCCCTGGCCCCCACCCCTGAGCGGTGGGTTGGGGCCCCAGTAAAACAAGAAGGGGGGGGACCTACTGTCCTCCCCCCCGGCCCCCACCCCTGAGCGGTGGGTGGGGGCCCTAATAAAACAATAAGGGGGGGGACCTACTGTCCTCCCCCCCCGGCCCCCACCCCTGAGCTGTGGGTGGGGGCCCTAATAAAACAATAAGGGGGGGGGACCTACTGTCCTCCCCCCCCCTGGCCCCCACCCCTGAGCGGTGGGTGGGGGCCCTAAATGAAACACCCCCCCCAATCAAGGTGACTAGGGGTCCCAAGCCCCTAGTCACCAACCCCCCACCCAAAAAACCTATCCCCTACCTACCCCCCTCACCCTACAAATAGTGAGGGGGGAATAAAATAACTAACCTGTAAAAAAAAAAAAATTAAACTTACCATTTGACGTCTTCTTTTTTCTAAAATCTTCTTCTTCAGCCCCCAAAACAAATAAAAAATCCATTACACCCTCACACACACTTTTAAAAAAAAACGAAAGAAAAAAAATTGACCCATGTTCGCCTTCGAGAGTATACATCACAGATCTCTGAAAGTTTCTGGTATGGTCAAGGCTTACAAGCCTTGCTCCCCCAGTAATTAGGCTTAGAACACTGGATTGTGGCTTGTTAATCAGAAAGGTGCTTGAGTGACACAGCGTGTTCTAAAGAACTTTCCCACGCTTGTGTAAAATGACACAGAGCACTCTGATTGGGGTGGCTTGAAGCCACCCAATCAGAGTAGTTATGAGTCATTTTACGCCAGCTACCCAAAAGAACTTTCCCAGCTGTGTAAAATGACACAGAGCACTCTGATTGGAGGACAGTAGGTTCCCCCCCCTTATTGTTTTACTGGGGCCCCCACCCACCGCGCAGGGGTGGGGGCCAGGGGGGGGAGGACAGTAGGCCCCCCCCTTATCCCCCCCCTTATTGTTTTATTAGGGCCCCCACCCACCGCTCAGGGGTGGGGGCCAGGGGGGGAGGACAGTAGGTCCCTCCCCTTATTGTTTTACTGGGGCCCCCACCCACCGCTCAGGGGTGGGGGCCGGGGGGGGAGGACAGTAGGACCCCCCCTTATTGTTTTACTGGGGCCCCCACCCACCGCTCAGGGGTGGGGGCCAGGGGGGGAGGACAGTAGGTCGTCCCCCCCTTATTGTTTTACTAGGGCCCCCAGCCATTTACTAGGGCCCCCACCCACCGCGCAGGGGTGGGGGCCAGGGGGGGAGGACAGTAGGTCCCCCCCCTTATTGTTTTACTAGGGCCCCCACCCACCACGCAGGGGTGGGGGCCAGGGGGGGAGGACAGTAGGTCCCCCTCCTTATTGTTTTATTAGGGCCCCGCAGGCCCCCCTGGCCCCGCACCACGCAGGGGTGGGGGCCAGGGGGGGAGGACAGTAGGTCCCCCTCCTTATTGTTTTATTAGGGCCCCCACCCACCGCGCAGGGGTGGGGGCCGGGGGGGGGGGCCAGAAGTCCCCCCCCATAACTTTATTTAGCGCCCCCACCCACCCCCATCTTTATTTAGGGCCCCCACGGGCATGGGGGGGGGGGTTTGTTAGTTTTTTTTGTTTTTTTTTTACAGTGAGCAGCTATAAGCTGCTCACTGCTTACTACACATGCCACATGCCCCTACTCGCGGTATAGCGAGTAGGGGCATTTAATTTACTAATACTAAGTAATCTTTACTTAGTATTAGTAAATGTGGCTGAAAGACCAATTTAGGTCTTTCAGCCTTTTAGTAGATAGCTCCCTGATACCGTGGGAATTAGGGAGTTATCTACTAAGGGGCTGCAAGATGCAGCCACAGCAATGAATAAGATCGGAGTTTCATTCATTAGAATGAAATTCCGATCCGAATAAAGTGCCGAATTGCGTTCTAAAAGAAACGAACATACTGTTGTCATTCAGTTAGAACGCAATTCGGCAGTTTTGTGTAAAGTGACAGGAAGCATTGTGGGAACACAGAGGAAAGCTAGGGATCATGGGAAAATTGCTCTGACCAGCGGAAATGAAGCACACTTTGCTCCTCCGCTGGTCAGAGCTGGTCAAGCGGAGGAATCCTCCATAAGGCAAAGAGTCCCTACTTTGTCTTATGATTTTAAAGAAAACTAAAGAAGACAGGAAGAAAAGAAGAACAGATCCTGAGAGAGGGGGAGAAGAGGAAGAGATTGAGGAAAGGTAAGTTCGGCATGACAGTGCCGCTTTAATTGTTGTCGGCTGTATTGTACAAGGAAATAACAGAAGAATATTAGTATTTATCTGTATTAGCATATCTATAAAATCCAATCACTAACGTTCCAGGCTAGGAATTAAATAATTGATTATTATAGCGAACAAATTATATCTAAGTTCAAGCAATATCTTCAAATACCGTCAGCGAATTCTGACTATTCATGGCTTTGTGAATGACCCTAAACACCTTATAAATATTGCTTAGCAATAACCACAGACATATTTGCTAAAAGAAGAATATTTTTAGGAAAAGTTTAACCCAAAAGGGAAATTCAAGAGAGTATAACATGACATTTATGAAACAGATGATTTTAATATATTAATATATAAAGATAAAATTTTGAAAAGCAACTTTGCACATATTTATGATGTATCTGTGCAATAAACTCCCACAAATCTCGGAAATCCCAACACAACAGGAATAACAGACTGAATCACGCCCTTTAGAGAATTACTCCGGGAGCTGGTGAAAGGCAGACTGTGTGTACTTAAGAGAGGCTTGTAGATGTGTATTCATGTGACCATAGCAACATACAATGAGTTGTGTTGTGTTTTGGTCTAGATATTGTGGAGTCATTTGGAAAGAGACAGAAACAATTCACAGCCAGACCCCAGTATATTTCTTTCTAAACTGCTCTCATGGCTGAATCACTGTCTCTGAAAAGATCAAAATCATGTCTTCTCAGCCGCTTTGCGCCCTCTCCTTCATTAGGCGAACTTCTGGCCAAGGAAAGGGGCTTCGTTTTGGATTGTGTGGCTGTGGAAAGAATTTCCAAAGATTATAGCTGCTCCTTACCGAAACTTGGCTCTGTCATTCCACCGTACAACGCTCAAAAGGACCCCCACATCAGCGCCTACTTCAGAACTAAACCAGTTCCACCTTTGCTGAAGAAAACAGGACAGGTTGGTATAACAATTAAAATGTTACTGTTAACACTAAAAAGGCAGCTTGTTGCTTTTGGGTTGACATAAGGGGATAATGCTGTGATATTGGGTTTATTTCCAGGAATTATTCACTAAAAACCATAAAATAGTGAATTGAAAACTGAACTTCGAAATTAATTTTAAAATTTGTTTTTTCAATTCACAGCAATTCAGCATTTAGTGAATACATTCCTATGTAAATTTATATATCTTATAGCCTTGTCCTTTTTTGACATGCGTATAGGTATACACTGATCAGCCACAACATTAAAACCACTGACAGGTGAAGTTAGGGGTCAAGTCCTGGGGAATAAAGTGCGGGAAATCACCCAAGCCCCCCCCCCCTCACCCCACCCCCCAAAAAATAAATAATATACACCTCTGTGCATATATAAACTCGTGCACACACACACACACTGACAGGTGCACACATACACACATACACTCACAGACACACACACACTCATATACACACACACATAGATGCACACTCACAGACACACACACACACACAGACACTCACATACACATACACACTCACAGACACACACATACACTCACAGACACACACAGAAACACACACATTTTTAATGTTTTTTAAAATTTAAAAAAGTCCACCCAGCCTCCCTACCTGGAGAGCTGGCGTGGACCTGTCCCTGGGGTCCAGTGGGGCTTCAGTAAGGTGGGCGCCTGTCTCCCTGTCAGACGCGGCGAGGGAGCTGAGTTCTCTCTGATCTTCTCCCTCTCGCCGCACGGGCTGTCTACTGATGCTGGGAGCTGGAATATGACATCATATTCCGGCTCCCGGCATTAGCAAACAGCGCACGAGGGAGAAGATCAGAGAGAACACAGCTCCCTCGCCACGTGTGACTTGGAGACAGGCGTCCGCCGGGGGGGTCCATCAGGTCGCCATCAGGCCACCTCTTGGGCCCCCCCATGACAGGGGGGACATGGGGGGCACTTTGGAGCGGCATTTTTTGCCACCCCATGAGTGCCTGCAGGAGTAACGGGAACGCCATTCCCACGTTTTCCTGCAGTACTCGAGCCCTGGGTGAAGTAAATAACATTGATTACAATGACAAATGTCAATGGAATGGAATATATTAGGCAGCAAGTGAACAGTCAGTTCTTGAATTTCATGTATTGGAAGCAGGAAAAATGGACAAGCGAAAAGATCTGAGTGACACTGACAAAGACCAATAGTGATGGCTAGACAAGCTGGCCAGAGCATCTTTAAAACAGCAAGTCTTGTGGGGTGTTCCTGATATACAGTGTGTTGTACCTACCAAAAGTGGTGCAAGGAAGGACAACTGGTGAACTGGCGTCAGGGTCATAGGCGCCCAAGGCTCATTGATGCTTGTTGGGAACGAAGGTTAGCTCTTCTGGTCCGATCACACAAAAGAGCTTTGATTTATTTTTGGCCGGAGGAGGCAGTGTTATGATTTGGGAAATGTTCTGCTGGAAAACCTTGGGTCCTGGCATTTATGAGGATGTTAGTTTGACACGTACCACCTACCTAGAGATTGTTGCAGACCATGTACAAACCTTCATGTCAACGGTGTTCACTTTCAGCAGTATAATGTCACACGCAAAAATTGTTCAGGAACATGACAAAGAGTTCAATGTGTTGCCTTGGCCTCCAAATTCCCCAGCTCTCAATTCGATCGAGCATCTGTGGGATGTGCTGGAACAACAAATCCGATCCATGGAGGCTATATAGAACTGTTTTGCCAGTACCAGGGGGACCTACAGAATATTAAGTAGGAGGTTTTACTGTTGTGGCTGAGCAGTGTATGAATGTACATATATACACACACTGTGAAATAGTGGTAGACTAAAAAAGAAAAAGTAAATGTAAAAAAAATAATTAAAAAAGTCTGCTACCACTGTACATATTGCTCACCTTAAAGTAGTGGAGTTAGTGGAGATTTATCATCTGAATATAGTAAAGTACCGTATATTGAGGTATTACTGTAAATCATGCAGTGACATCATCATCATCATTATAAATTATTTGTAACTCAGGAAGATGACATCATCCACTTCAATTACAGCAATTGTAGATAGGCCCCTCCTATCTCGATCTGCAGCATCTACAGCAAATATATCACCTCCATTACAGCTCTCTGGGAATAAATGGATGAATGACTTCTCCTGAATAATGACACACCTAACTTCCATAAACAATAGATGGAACTGCACTTAATACCTGTTAAATCTGAAGCTGGGTGCAACCAAACCAGGCCCTAACTTCAATGACACTTCTTTGTAGAAGGAAAACTAATATTTCCCTAATGACGGCTGAATAATGCAACACGTCCCCTCTAGGACACCAGTGGTATGTGTGTGTGTCAGTGTTACTGTGTGTTCAGCCTGTTGATGGCCATGTGTGTCAGCCATTAAGGCTAATAATCCATCTGCTGTACAAAAAAAGTAAATATATATATATATATTTATCATGACATTTAAAATGTACAAATGTTATGGCAAAATAATGCATAATATATAGTAAGGAAATTTTGGAGTTCTGGGCAATTTGCAACAAGATAAATATAATTTTATTAATATTTTTGAAGCATGAAGATAGTGCCTGGCAGTGAAGGGGTTACGTTTCCAGCCATTATTTTTTGCTTTTCATTGTCATTAATTGCCTGTGGACTATTCATGCATGCTCTCAGGGTTATTCTGTAAACTGTGAATTGTGAATTCACCAGCAGGTTAAAATTTGAATCCACTACTAGCGGTGGAATAAAAAGGAGTTGGGGACTTTTTTCGGTTCCAATATTTTAGTCACTGTTTAGAGAAGACATTCTACAGTCAATAATTAGTAAAAAAAAAAAAAAAAAGACGATTGTGTGATATGTCATTGTATTAATATTCTCTGCTATTTCAGGAACGTGGAGGTACGTCGACCTATGGTGTACTGGCTGACCGCTTCCAATTCACCGGAGCAGCTGCTCATTACCTACGAACCCGAAATAATTCTGGTGCAGGTAAAATAATGTACTTATAAATGTTATACTCCTTATATTCTAAAGTATGTATTCATTACCAGAGGATTTTGTTTAAAAAACATTTCCACTTATACAGTACATGAAAGGGACACTATATGCAATCAGACAGCCACTAGAGGCGCTTCCGGGTTGTTAGGTGACTTTTGGTCCGCTTGCTGGAGCTGGACATCCTTACAATTTGCATGAGGGCATCCAGTATCAGTTAGAACCCCACGGGAAAGCATTGATTCAATGCTTTCCTATGGGCTTGTTATAATACAATCGAGGTGATTGCCACGCATGCGCATTAGGTACAAACATAGAGAGGGCCCTGGTGCAAGAAATGTTTTTGGGCCTCCTCTATCACAAGGGTGGCAGAAAGGTAGATACCCCTCTGTCGAACTCCCATGATGCTGAGGATTTGCCAATCCTTGCAGGGCTGTATTTGTGAGCAGTTTTTGTGCATTTAAATGTAAGCATGTTTTTGTATAGAGTATGCGTGTGTATTTGTATGTACTGTTGCTATTGGAATGCAGTGGTGTGCTTGTGTGTAGTGTTTACATTTGAATTCAGGGGTGTGTTTGTATGTGTTAGCTTTTACATGCAGCTATGCTTTTGTGCAGTGGTGTATCCTGGTTTTGTGCTGCCCTAGGCATGAAAAAACTCAGGCGACCCCCCCGACCCCGCGCCACCCCACCTTTCCCCCCTGACCCGCCTTCTAAATACACAGACACGTATACACTAGCTAACAAACATACACACTCACTAACAGACACATACAGTCACTAGCAGACACACATTCACTAACAGACATGCATACACTCTCACTAACAGACACACATAGTAACACACTCCCTAACAGACACACTCCCTGACATACACACACTAACAGACACACACACACTCACTAACAGACATGCACACACTAAAACACACACTCACACACACTAACTGACACACACTCAATCACTAACAGACACACACACACTAACACACACACACTAACAGACAAACACACATGTAACAGATCGACGGGCACCCCGATCTGTGTACCTCTGTTGAAGGATGCTCTTAGCGCTTCCTGAGGGCTCCAAGCACTCCAGCCGACACCATAACCACCGTAGACTCCTCCAGAGAGCAAGGCAGGAACAAGCTCTTACAAGAGCTTAGGAGTGATTTTAGCAAGGGAATATGAAGAGCACAGCAATCCCTTGTAGCAGATTCCCCCAATAAGAGATGGCACTCCAAATTGAGGGTGAAGTAGAACTGCCAGAGCTGTGGGTTTATTGTTCTTATATACACATTCTTACACATTAGTACCACCCACAGGGTTTTGTAAAACAACCAATAAACACGTACAATACACTCAGACACTCCCACACAAAATCCTCCCCTCTGCTTGTGATACAATTACCTTACACAATGGGTTAATGTAATTATCACAGGCAGGAAAATACACAGTTTTACACAATATTCATAACTTTAAAAGTATGCATCACATTCACACTTACATTCACTAACTTACATTTTCAGAATCAGCTTACTCCAAATACAAACATACGTCAAAATCATACAAATTGGTCCAGTGGGTCAAAAGTTAGATCGAAGTCCTTTGTGACCAAATGAAGCATGGCTTTTCTTCCCAAAACCGGTTCCACAGAGTCTTCTATCCTGGAGATAATTGGGAAGTAATCCAATTATCTCCAAGGACAGAAGCAAAACTCCATTAGCCACATGGTAGCAAAAGACAATAAAATACCTAAATATATATAAATGTGCAGCTATTGCATAAAACAGGTACATTCAACATATCCCCAGATAGCTTAGATTATTCCTGGATGGTGCTCAGATCACATACATACAGTTCAATTGCCATGGAGCCAAAGTCTTTCACATAGTCTTTCGTTATACGAATGGGCTCCATGGCATAGCTATCTGGGGTATCACTGTTCAAATAGAGAAAGTACCAAATGACCCGGCTTTTGGGTCTTTGCAGGGGAAAATCAAGCATTTTAACATGGGGCTATAGTCACAGGGCAGGAGGCTTGCACTCAGTCTTCTCCAATGCCCAGTGGCAAGGCTGGTTCTGCCACAACACACTCACTAACAGACACACACACTAACACACATACTCACTAACAGACACACATTCACTCACATTAACACACTCACTCTTTTTTTTTTTTTTTAATTCACCCCCCCAGCCTCCTTACCTTTGGAAATGCTGGGGGGATTTCTCCTTTCCCTGGGGACCAGTGGGGCTGCTGGGCGGGCTATTCCGGCTATGACGTCATATTCCGGCTCCCGGCCTCACTCTGCGGTGCGCAAGGGAGCTGAGCAGAGAGCTCAGGGGAAAGTGCTTCCTCACCAGCGCCGCCAGACCGACCGGATTTTTAGTTAGCCGCCAGGCTAACAAGACATTTGCCCTGGGCATTCGAGGGTGGCTTTTTTTGCCGCCCCCTGGAAAATGCCGCCCAAGGCAAATGCCTTGTTTGCCTTGCGGCTAATACGTCCCTGCTTTTGTGTGTAGTGTTGGAGTTTGAATGAAGGAGTGTATGTATATAATTTTAGAGTTTGAATGCAGCGGTGTGTTTGTATGTAAGATTTGTGTTTAATTGCAGGGGTGTGTTTGTATGTTGTGTTGGTGTTTGCTGGGATGTATGCACATACCAACATCCATACATACATACATACACACTTACATATATATCAGACACATTAACACACAGATACACACATATAAACACACTGACATATACACACACATACACATGGGCCACTTGATAGGCCCCCTGAGCGCACGGGGCCCCGGTACAGCCGCACCAGCGGTAGATGATTCCCAGATCTACTAGATTTTTTTTTTTTTTTTTTAATTCTTTATTTATAACAAGATTAGATACCACAGCAAAACAATCATTACAATGCAATAAGAGGACAAACATCACAAACAATATTCGATATTAATCAGAATACAACATGATTAGCTGCCCTTACAACCAAACATGTTCACTGAGTATGACATACGTCCTCCAACCATTATTATCTGTCTACTGCAGCCTCCAATCGATTTTATATTATATAATATACAGAATCCTGTCTGACTAAATGGCAGCTCGTTTCTTCATTCCACCTTAACCTTTAATAAATAGTAGGCGTCAAACCAAACTATCATATGCATATCTAACGTGTAAGGTCAACAATATTGTAGTACCATTTAACTAGCGCTCCGCCAAAAAAGGCCCCACAGCCCGCCTCAACCCAAAAAGGTTCATGTTAGCTAAGTGATCACTGGACAGTAGCCAGACAGGAAGTAAAAATAAGGGAAAAAGAAAAAGAGATAAAAGGAAGTGGAAAAAAAGAAGATTAACCGTATGGAAAGTACCATAAGAGTAGAAAATAAGAGGAGAATAGGAGAGGGAGGGAGTATGCTGGTGGTATTCCAAGAATTGGCAATAATGCTAGCTCGACCAGTCGGCTGTGCAGCCAAACCTGCAAAGCCTAAGGATGGACCTCCAAGCCCATGAGGAGAACTATAGACCGTAGGCGCCTCAGTGGGGACCAAAAGGACCAACTAAGCAATGGAACTATAGAGGTGCTATCCCCCCCAGAGTCAGCAGAGGTATGTTGGGGTATGAAGGAGACGAGCCCGTCCCCCTTCCCCCTAATCGCCAACCCCGCTTTCTATCCACGGGCCCCAAATTTTGGATCTACTAGATTTTTAATACAAGTCTCACTCATAACTGTTTTAATTCATTAATTAAAAATACAGTGATGGACTGAAATCAATGAATTAATCATAGAGAGAACACCAAAGAAATGTATTCCTGCAGCATATAAATTCTACATACTGGGAGGATGCATTGACATACATTGTACAAGGGCGGATTTTCCTTGCACATAATACAAACAAAATAGAAACACTGTGGAACATGACGCATTCTTATATTATGTACAATATAGTGAATTATCTAGGTTGATATCATGTACAGGTTCTGTTCTATTAATAGACAAACCTTTTTTCAGGTCATTCCGCAGACTATACCAGAGGCCACGGCTTGTTCCTTTCTTCTGTAAGACCTATTTATGGATACAATGGAACATATGGATACAGAAGAAATACCCCGTCATTTAGGAGACAGCCTTCACCGTTTGGCATTGTAACCTCTTCTCCGATTTACTGAAACATTTAACACTTACTATTATATTAAGCCAACTTCACTTTAAAAATAAATAAATGTTTATTTATTAATATTAAACTGAATAAATGTTAACATTTAATGTGATCTTAACTGGAGTAATTGAGATCCAAGCAAATGATATCACGTATAATAATAGGAATCAAATAAAAGGAACAGTTAGCATTATTTTTTAGGTGGGTGTTATTGATTTAATTTTTTTAACCTTTATTTCTAAATTATTTTGATGACATATCACGCTTTTTTTTTTACTTGTCACTGTTATCTTAATTCAAGAAACAAGAGTGCTGTTTAGTTGCAATAATAACAAGGGCTTATGACTTATTTTCCTCCTATTGAGCCCTACACCACTCTCTAACCCTAAATGAAATAAAACTGTAAAAATGTATTTTACACCAGGCATAACTACTTCTTTTCATGTTATAGTTTTCTTCCCACCACACTGTCACCATCTCCCTGTACTGGTATAGTATTGTCCCCTCCCTAGTGTCACCACTGCACCCGTCACCCTACCCCAGCATCACCATTCCTTATTTACTGCATCACCTGCTACCTTTCCCAAGGTCACCATTCTCTTATCCCAGTGTACCACCTTGTCACTTTCAGTATCCCCTCTCTGGACACATCAATATCACCCTCTCACTACCCCTGTTTCACACTCTCTGCTCACCCAGATCATGTGTCCTCCCCAGTAATCATCATTTTCCAATCCCCTCCCCAGTGATGCCATCAGCTACCCTAATGCCAATGTTTCACCAATCCCTCTCTCTATGTTAGTGGTAGCTCCTCTAGAAGTAGCTGGTAGGTTTCCAGAGTTGGCTGGGCTCTGTGTTTTGTATATATTCTCAGTTTTTATGCTGGTGACCTCTCCTCTCCCGCCGACGTCAGCTCCCCCGTCCGACGTCAGTGGAGCCGAATGGAAGACAGCCACAAGAGGTTGGATTAACCCTTTCTCTGAAACTGCTATGTTTACATCTGAAGGGTTAAAACCTGAGGGACATTGCACCCAGACCACTTCATTGAGCTGAAGTGGTCTGGGTGACTATAGTGTCCCTTTAATCAAATGGCCGTTGTGACCCCAAGGGCTGATTGGTTGCTTCAGTTCACTAATCTAGAATATCTATTTGCTTATATCTAAAATATCGAGGTGTACGTGTCCAAGGGAAAATGTTACCTGTGTTCGAAAACGGCACAAGTAATACAATTTTGCATTCACATTTACAACAAATCCACCACTCCAAACAGTTTCAAAGAATCATATCCTTTGTACAAAGTCCAACATGTTTAATGATCATGATCTAATGATAAAAACCCTCTGCAAAATAAATATGTTTATTTAGCGTGTCCATTGCTTTTAATCAGCAGAAGTAAAAACAAAGGATTCACAGGTGTATGACAGCCAAACAAATTGTTCTATTGACATGGAAATTAATTGGAGAAGAGGGACACTTGATTTTATTTTGTAAGCCAAGTCTTGCTGCATTGAAGCTACCTTGCGCACAATTAACATGAAAGGTGTTAGGGGCAAAAGTGTATTCACTCTGTCTACACAAAAAGTACTAAATGAGAGCGGAAAAGAAGAAAAAAAACTTGGCGTAAGACACTATGCCTAACACAAAAGACTTCTTTTTTTTCTGGGGCTGTGTGTTTAATTAAGTACGATTTTCCCATGCATTTCCAGATATGTGGGAGAAAAATCTCAATAGTCCTGCAGTAACTTAAATTGTGATAGGATGTAATTGTTGCCATTGTAAACAGGAAAGTGCTTCACAAATTGCTTTAATAATAGACGTGCCTTTTCAGAAGACGGTAATACTCACATTACTACATAGACTGAGGATCTGCAGTTGTGGGTAGGTTGATGAGACCCGAAACCTTGAGACGAAACCAAGGGAAAATGTAACTTTTGGCAATAAAAACACTTTAAATTTTTTTTTATTTTTTTTTAGAGGGTCATTGCAGTTTATCTTTCTGTTTTCACAATTTAATTCTCATACTCTCAGAAAGCTTACCAAATGAGTGGATGAATACACAGTACAGTCCAGTACAGCCTTTTCTGCTGCTGATGGTAGTACCAGTCGCCAAACAGCGCACAGAGAACTGACATCAAAAGGATCGGCAAATAGAAAGTACAACAAAACTAATTGGACTTTTATAGATTTGGCTATCAGCATGGGCGTCCGCAGGAATTTTTCCAGGTGGGGCATAATTGTAATGACATCCATGCTTGGTCCCTTTTTAACAGTGTCATGAAGGGGAGGAGCATAGTCATTTTCACATAAAGCCAGGGTGAATAGCATTTTCACAACTATGGTGTCAGGAATACATGTTTGTATTCCTGACACTATAGTGTTCCTTTAAGCAAATTAAAAGAACATTCTGTTCACCATAACAACTTCATCTAAATGAAAATGCTATGATGCCAGGAAGCCCCTGGGTGCTCTCTTTCCTTTAAGGGGCTAAACCGCTCTCAAATGGTTTAACCCCAAAGGCTTCCTCCAGCTCCAGGTCGCTCAGTGGTATTCGGCTTCTGAAACGGAGTGTCAGAAAGTGCAGATTGACGTCAGGCATGGGTGCTACAGATTGGCTAGAGTGGTCAGTTGACGCTCTAACTCAATCACCAGTTCCCAGTTCATAAAAATCTTTTACTTTTTTATGAATGGGGAGCTACTGATTGGCTTAGAGTGCTAGCTGAATGCTATAGCCAATCAGCAACACCCCTACCCAGCGGCCCTCTGTGTTTCCTGACACTCAGTAAATAAAAGTGAACACATTAACACTGATATTTTTTTTACCTGGGGAGATGAGAAGGTCCAAAGTTTCCCTGCCAGGCCCAGGTACCAAAGCCTTATGATGTGGTGTCCAGAATAAAGTGGAGGGTTCACTTCACTTGTCCTTCCTGCTCCAATCTCATTTTCTTCTCCTTCATTTGACAGTCTTCTTTTTCTTCTGACACTGACTTCTCTCCTCCTTGGCTCCTCCTTCACCTTTCTGCTACTTTCTGGTTATTGAGCTCCCCCTTCTGCTCCTGTCTCTCTCTGATCTTTCTCCTCCTTGCAGACCATTTCTGCTCCTTCTTCTTCTTTACCTTTGTGCTCCTTGCTGTCCCTTTCTGCTCCTTGCTACCCTTTTCTGCTCCTTCTCCTACTTTACCTTTGTGCTCCTTCTGATTCTTTCTGCTCCTTTACCTTCGTGCTCCTTCTGTCCCTTTCTGCTCTTTGCAGACCCTTCCTTCTCCTTGAAGACCCTTCCTACTCCTTGCAGACCCTTCATACTCCTTGCTGCCCCTTGCAGACCCTTCCTGCTCATTTCTGTTCCTTCGCCCACTTCACCTTTGTGCTCCTTCAGTCACTTCCTGCTCCTTGTTGCTATCTTCAGCTCCTTGCTGACCCTTTGTCATGTATTCAACTGCTTATAAAAATGTGGTTAATGGCATTTACTGTCCACACAAGAAAAGTTGTGCTGAGCAGCAACCAAATCCACAGAAGGGTTAATGCTGAGCAGCAATTATGCAAATGGGAACCTGGTAACTGCCTTTGGGGTCAAAGGCCGGTTAAATCCTATCAGATCTAGAGGAGGGGTATTTAGGCCCAGTTCTCATCCTGCTCAGTGCCCTGTCGTGGTTTCCCTTGTGTTGTCCGAGAGGGCGTTATTGATTCTGGTATTTCGGGTTATTTGATTTTGGCAATGTTTTTGACTTCCCTGTTTTCTGGCATCCCTGACTCCTGGCTTTTCCTTATCGTTGTGTCTCTTTCTGTTTCCCTTGACCTCGGCTATTCCTGACTATGTTTGGTACATTAGTCCGGCCATTCTAAGGTCCGGTATATGTTACCTATCAGTCCTCTGTGTTACACAATTCTACGTGCTGGATCATTCTGTAATCCTGACACCCTTTCTGCTCCTTCTACTTTACCTTTGTGCTGCTTTACCTTCCAGCTCCTTGCTGACCCTTCCTGCTCCTTGCTGACCCTTCCTGCTCCTTGTTGACCCTTCCTGCTCCTTGCAGACCCTTCCTTCTCCTTGCTGACCCTTCGTGCTCCTTGCAGACCCTTCCTGCTCATTTGTGTTCCTTTGTGCTCCTTCTCCTACTTTACCTGTTGTGCTCCTTGCTGTCCCTTCCAGATCCTTGCTGCCCCTTTCTGCTCCTTCTCTTACTTTACCCCCACATATGCCCACTTCCCTGATCTGTAGGCTATCTCTGCCCTCCCCCCATATGCATCCCTTCCCTGATCTGTAGGCTATCTCTGCCATTCCCCCCATATTCCTCACTTCCCTGATCTGTAGGCTATCTCTGCCTGCCTCCCTTCCCTGATCTGTATATCTCTGCCCTCCCCTGCCTCACACTTCCCTGATCTGTAGGCTATCTCTGCCCTCCCCATGCCTCACTTCCTGATCTGTGGGCTCTCTCTGCCTCCTTCCCTGCCTCTTTCCTGATCTGTAGGCTCTCTCCCCATATGCCTCCTTCCCTGATCTGTAGGCTCTCTCTCCTCACTTCCTGATCTGTGGGCTCTCCCCTCCCCATATGCCTCACTTCCCTGATATGCAGGCTCTCTCTGCCCCCCATATGCCTCACTTCCCTGATCTGTAGGCTCTCTCTGCCCTCCATATGCCTCACTTCCCTGATCTGTAGGCTCTCTCTGCCCCCCATATGCCTCACTTCCCTGATCTGTAGGCTCTCTCTGCCCCCCATATGCCTCACTTCCCTGATCTGTAGGCTCTCTCTGTCCCCCATATGCCTTACTTCCCTGATCTGTAGGCTCTCTCTGCCCCCCATATGCCTCACTTCCCTGATCTGTAGGCTCTCTCTGCCCCTCCTCCCCCCCATATGCCTCACTTCCCTGATATGTAGGCTCTCTCTGCTGCCTGTATGTGTTGCTCCCCTGCGGATTCAGTCAGAGAGAAGCAGGGATAAGATGCAGCTTCCTATCCCAGTCTCTCTCCATAAACACCTACTGGCCGGCGCCGGTATTGCACTGTATTTTCAATCTCACGAAAATTAGCAGAACAAGCTGAAAAATGCAGGGGGGGAGGCAAGTGCCCCCCCTTGCCCACCCCTGGTGACACCCATGACTATCAGTGCCCCAAACCCTCCCTGCGTAAGTGTAACCATTCGGCGCTGTCGCTGAAAACATCAAAAAGCTGTTCGTGCAGCCCTGAAAATAAACATACATCACATATATTAAGGCATTAATGGGGTTATGCACAGCCTCATATAATCACATGGGATCCATTGTGGGCAGATATGTTAAAAATAAAAGTTCATAACCAAAGCTCACAAAAACCGAAGAGGACTCAGTAGATCCCCTCTCACTGTGAGCAGTTGGTTGGAGAGTCAACGTATTCTCTTGCTTTTACTTGTAAAAGCATGTTTGAGCATTGATATTATTAATATTTAAAATGTGTCACGCCCACAATAGCCATATGAGCGATACTACATGTCATATGAACTTTGCTTCACATGATGTAATTGAAAATCTATGTCATGACAGTATACATTAGACATCCAGTTCTACTGGACTTTGTCCGAGTGACACCCAGACACATCAGAGATGGCCCTCGCTTTATAATTTTTAAAGTGACTCAGGTTTAAATAGACACAATGGAACAGGGAGCATTACTGCAGTGTCACTAGGAGAGCTACATTGATACTAAGTACTTTCACTTTCTGCTTTCAGGCAATACAGGAAAATTGTCTTCAAACAGATCCGAAAATGCAGAAACTGTGCCCTCTCAAAAACAATATAATTTGTTACATTTCTAAAGCACTCGGCTATATACTGTCCTTATTATAGCAGTTGTATAGTTTGTTCTAATAAAGATCTATTTTAGCAGACTGATATGTACCATAAGACCAGCATGTATGAATAATTACCTGAGGCCAATTTATTGTCTTATTTTACTTCTGTCATTTTATGAAGTAATCATTAGACTCAAAGGGACATTGTCACTTTGTAAGTTTTTGTATTAAAAATAAAGCCTGGTTTGTACTTCCATTTCCCATTGGTTTTGTTTATTTATTTTATTTTTTTAATTTTTTTAAATTCTTTATTTTCAATGACAGAAATTTCAGACATGAGAACAGTACTTGGGCTTATGCAAAAGCCAAAATTCGTGTTTTACAGTAATTTCACAGTAATACAGAAAAGAGAGAATGAATTGTTAACTGGTAATGCAACTGTTCAGAGTTCTTCCTTGCGGTCTAGTTCTGTCAGAGTTTTTACATTTATATAGAAAACTAAACAGATTTAAGTGTTAACCTTAACATAAAAATAGGATGTGTTGCCAACACTTTCATGTGTGGCGTATTTTTTTTTTTGTATAGATTCTTTTTATTTCATAGAAAAAGGAAGTGCATATGTGTGCCAATGACTGGGCCTGCGCAGAAGCCTCGAGAAAAGTGCATATATGGGTAATAGCTGTCTGACTTGCGCTGAAGCCACCAAGGGAGTGCATACATGTGTGTCAATGCTTTAGGCTTGCGCAGAAGTCGGGACAACAGTGCATATTCATGCCAGTACAGTGGCTTACGCAGAAGCCTCCTTGCATTTTCAATTGGTTCAGTTGCACCTTGGTGATGGTGAGCAAGTCAAGGCAAGAGTCACGGCTATGGTCACCGCTAATCTCGTCAGCGGTTAGTTTGTCATCTTTTGGTGTGCTGAGATAACTCTGCGTGGTTTGTCCGTGAGGTCTTGCCTTGAGTACACATGTCACTCCAATTAGCGTGATTTTGTACAGGTGTTAACTAAACATATCATAACCGGTAATCTAAAATCTAAAATCTAGTATTAACTAGCAACATTGTATTTAATTATACGGTGAGTTGGTGCCGCTGTCTCCACGGCTCGGACGAGGGGCGTTGTGTGTCCCTTTGTCGTTGGCCCTATGTGTGTGTTCGGTCTCCCTGTCCGCCCTCCGTGTTTTCCTGATATTGTTCCCATAGATCCCATATTTTGCTAAATTTTTGGGTGGTGTGCCTGACCAGGGAAGTTAATCTGTCCATTAGATAATTATCTTTTATCTTTGCTACTACCAGTGCTACCGGGGGCATTTCCGGACATAGCCATTTCTGTGCCAGTGCTCTACGGGCTGCTAAGTATATCATATTTAACAGTTGTTGTTCTGGGCGTGGGAGGCCATCTGTTGGCCTTGATAGGAGGCAGGCCCAGGGGTCCAGTTTCAGTGGTCTCTGCAATATTTTAGTGCTTAGTTTGATGATTTGCACCCAGTAGGTCTGTACCAAGGGGAACTTCCACCACATGTGTATATAGGTGCCTTGTTCCCCGCAGCCGCGCCAGCACAGGTCTGTGGGGGTGATCCGCATGCGGAATTGTTTCAATGGTGTGGTGTACCATCTAAAAAGTGTTTTAATTGACTGCTCCTGAAGAGTGACACATATTGATGATCGGGCCGTGGCCTCCCAAATGTCCTGCCAGTCGGAGCCCTCTAATGTCTCCCCCAGGTCTGTCTCCCACTGGTCTGTGTATCGCAGCTCCCCCCATTCCTTGGCCTCCCCGCTAAGGTGGGAGTATAGTAGCGATATTAGTCCACTGGGGTGCTTTTCCTGGTAGCATATGTTTTCGAACCAGGTGAGTGGGAGAGAGGCCGTCTCCTTGACTTCTTTTGAGTTAGCAAAGTCACGTAATTGGAGGTAGCGGAAGAAATCTTTGGTGGTAAGGGGGGATTATTCCCTGAGTTGGTCGTATGTGACTACGTGGCCATTGTTATATAGGTGGCAATATCTCTGGATGCCTGCTCTCTCGAGTCCGCTAAAGTCGCCCGCTGTCATACCTGGTGGGAAGGATCGGTTCCTGAGTACCGGAGACATTGGCGAGGGGAACCTGCTTAGGGAGTATTTAGTCGCTGTTAGATCCCAGATTCTTAGGGAGTTCGTTATTGCTGGGCAAGTCACTCTGGGGATTGCTCTATGTGTCCTGTGTAGCCAGGGGTAGAATTGCGGTAGATCTTGCCTCATTAGTGAGGTTTCAAGTTCTACCCATCGACGCGTGTCCGGTGTGGAGTGCCAATATGCTATTTGCGCTGTCTGCGCTGCTAGATAGTAGAGGTACATGTTCGGTAGTCCCAGTCCCCCTCTGTCTTTGGGCCTATACAGGAGTTTCCTGGCTATTCTGGGTCGTTTCTTTTGCCAGATGAACCTATCTATTGCCTTTTGTAGTGTGGCTAAGTCGCTCCTTTTAACCTGTGTGGGCAGGGCCTGGAACATGAATAGTAACCTGGGTAGAATATTCATCTTAATTGAGTGGAGCCGTCCTAGCCATGAAATGGGTTTGTCTGTCCACTGCTCTAGGTCTCTTAGGAGTGTGCGGAGCAGTGGGGAGTAGTTAGTGTCGTGTAGGAGTTCGTATTGTGCAGTAAGTTTAACCCCTAGATAGGGTATGTTATTAGCTGTGATGGGAAGTCGGTATCTGTCGTATATTGTGGTTTTATCTTGGGTCCGAATGTGGAATGGTAGTGCCATGGATTTGACCAGGTTGTTTATTTATTTATTTTAAGTTCACCAGACTACTTTGGCAAATGGGCCCATTTCAGTTGCCAAGATAAGTTACCCACAATCCATCAGTGAAAAAAAAATCATAAAATGCACAACTACAGATTGCACTCACAGGATGTATTCGCAGAAGGGTGCCTCCCCCGATAACACTGGGGGGGCTGAACAGGACGCCTCTTCCTGTAGCAATTCGCTGCAAGTATGGAGAGCCGGACTCAGGATACAGGTGAAAAAACTGCTATTTATTTAATCAGGTATGTATAAAAAATATAAATAAATAGTACTACCTAGTTAGACAGCCCAACTTGGAGTACCGAAAAATGGGTGAATGGGGTGGCAAAAGGGCATAACCCTATAATAGATACAGAAAGAGAAATAGCAGAGATGGAGGATTGATCGCCTCATACAGAGACCGGGCTGATCACCTCCAAGCCACCCCAAAACAGCGTCTCAAAAATAATAAACAATTTTATTGGGAAAAACCTTATTAAAATCAAAGAAGGAAAACACATCTATCTATAGATAAAATAAATAACTAAAGCTCAATATATACAGAGTATGGCTGATATATATATGTATATATAGTATAGTATGTCAAATACCTATAGGTAAGGTATAGTACATATATAAATACATAAGAACCATAGACTGTGCATTGCAAGCCCGATACAGAATATAGAATATGGCTAAAATATAGATATAATACTATAATAAGTACCTGTGCAAAAAAATAAAGAGTAGATACAATAGTAAATATGAAAAGCCAAAAATTCTGCACTTAAAAAACTAATCGCTGCAGAGTATGGCTAACCATATCAGAATGTGGCAAAATCATTATGAAGTGAAACAGTGTAAGCCACAATAGTAGCCAAAGACTCTGCTGCTGTACCTACAGGGTTAAGTTTTGAATGGAAATCGAAAGGATAGAAGAAGGCATAAATAAAAGGAGAAAAATAAAGCAGAAAGACCTGATTATAGATCTACATACAGAAAAACTAGGTCTGAGTGCCTAATCCCGATAAACAGCCCACCTATCACTAAATAAGAAAACCAGAGCTGCAAAAACGCTCAGTACCACTAAACCATACTGTAAGGAACAAAGAAAAAACAAAATAAACTTGATTAGCTATATAAAATAGCCCATAGCCCAACGCGCGTTTCGGTGGATTAACCACCTTTCTCAAGGGCACAAAGTAAAATGAGGCAAACAGAACAATCCCCCCTTACTCCATTTAAACGTTGATAATACCTCCCAGTTCATCTGATTCGTCCATATGTCGGCTCCATCTCAGAGGAGGAGGGACAGGGATAGCCGCTCGTATCACAAGTCCGTGCGCATACCTGTCCACGCGCAGGCGCGCCGACTTAGTGTCAGGCTAAGTATCAAGAAGAACCGCGCATGTCATAGAGCCGCGCATGCGCATAACATAAAACCCGATTACAGGGTCAGTCCGTGCGCATGCGCGAATGTGTACATAGTAAACTTAGCGTACACAGTGTTATACATATGCCGGTATAAATAACAAGTCCTAAAGAACGGAGTGCTACATTAGTAGCGTTCAGAAGAGTGGAGTAAAAGGGGTAGAAAGTTCAAAAAACATATATAAATGAATCATCAAACGAAAAAGAATAACAGAAGAAAGATATTAAGTTCCCATCATATTTAGAGTTAATCACAAGCATACATTATAAAGAGACAAAAGAGTGGTATTATAAACACTAATAACTAATAAATAAAGTAGAATAAAATAAAGTAATAGTAATAGGCTGAAAGAAAAAGATATATACATAATTTTATTCATTGTCCAATGATTACATACTAGAATACAGACGACAGAATCCCTATCAATCTATAGTTATTCACATAGTCTATAACTATATTAGATTGGTGCAGGGAAGTGTATATAAGTATATATGTATACATAGAAAAATACATACATGTGTATAAATATATATACAGTACATTGTTCAAAAAGGCTTCCTCTGAGAAGCGGATTATATGAAAGGGGCAAAAGAAAAGCCCTCATTAAGACCTAGAGGTTGGAGTGTCTTAAGTTCGTATATCCATCTTGACTCTCTCTGTCTTAATATTTTATCATAATCTCCACGTCTCAAAGTCCTTTTAACCAACTCCAAACCACAAAACCTAAGATTATTGAAATTCCCCTGGTGATGTTCTTTAAGGTGTCTCGATATGGGTGTCTCGAGGTATGTATAAAAAATATCTTAAAAATAAAGCTAAAAAGCCTTTGGATAAAAATAAGTTGCTTAGGAGTAATCCTACATGTTTCACCCCAATAGGCATACTGCTTTGTATTGCATAGTGTTTTATCTTGCCACTTTGCTTGTTTATTTTATTCATTTCTTTGTATTCCATGTATTTTAATACTATTCCCTGCCGAGACCTCAAAAACAAAAAACCCTCCCTTGTTATTTGAAAACTGTGACAGCATGACGTAGGTTCATTTGTGGTATCAAACATTGCGCTTTTAAGGTGAACCTATAATCAGGGCTGGCACGTCCTGTAGGCGACACCGGCCCGGGCACACCGCCTAGGGCACACCGGCCCGGGGGTTGCAAGTTTCAAGTATCCCGGCAGAAGGGAAGTGCATAGAGCTCCCTCCTATCGGGTCACTCCGTGTAGCGTGACCGGGGCGGCGCGGACCGCGGTACAGGAGCTTCCTGCACCCAACTGGACTGAAAGGAAGTGAAGTCTAAGTGAGCACTTCCTTGCAGTCCAGCGGGGTTCAGGAAACAGAAGCTCCTGTACCACGGTCTGTGCCGCCCGGCCACGCTACATAGAGTTAGGAGGCACCACAGGGAAGGGGTGGGACCATGGGAGATGGCACTAAGGGTGGGGGAGAGGAGACACCATTAAGGGATACTGGGGGGGGAGGAGAGACCACTAAAGGACACTGGGGGGGAAGGAAGAGGGGGAGAGACCACTAAGGGACACTGGGGGGGGGGAGAGGAGGAGAGACCACTAAGGGATACTGGGGGGGCAGGACAGACCACTAAGTGACACTGGGGCGGTAGGAGACACCACTACGGGACACTGGAGGGGAGGGAGAGGAGGAGAGACCACTAAGGGAAAGATAAGGGAGGGGGGAGAACTCTAAGGGACAGAGAGGAGGGAGAGCACTATGGGAAGGGGGAGGGTGGCAGGGAAGAGCACTAAGGGGCAGGGGAGAGAACTAAGAAACAGGAGGGGAGATCACTAAGGAACAGGAGGGCAGTGAAGAGCACTAAGGGACAGGGGGGCAGGGAAAAGAACTAAGGGACAGGGGGGGCTGGGGAGAACACTAAGGGACAGCTGGGGAAGGGAGATCACTAAGGAACAGGAGAGGATGGGAGAGCACTAAGGGACTTGAGGGGACGGGAGAGCACTAAGGGAAAGGAGGGAAGGGGACAACACTAAGGGACAGGAGGGGAGAGTTCTAAGGGACAGGATGGGAGACCTCTAAAGGACAGGGGAAGAAGTAAAGTTGAGACCACTAAGGGACGGCGAAGTGGAAGAGATCATTAAGGGATGGGGAGAGTGTAAGACACACAGAAAGGCTGAGGAAGGGGTGAAAGAGAAGCACAGAAGGGCTGGTAGCGGTAAAAGAGACACACAGAGGGCTCAGGAGAGAGACACACAGAGTCGCTTGTGAGGGAGACACGCAGATGGGTCTGGGGGGAAAAGAGACACACCAATGAGCTGGGAAGAGTAGGACACAAAGGGGCATGGGGGAGTAAGACACGCAAAGGGGATGGGAGGATGTAGGAGACATACAAAGAGGGGGGATACGAGATACACAAGAGGTTTGTAAGAGATACACTAAGGGGGAGTGTAAGACACAAAACAAAGAAAAATATACAAAAAAAATTATATTAACAAAATAAATATAATAATAAAAATAAAGAGCTGCTCCCCTCTCAGCCTTAATCATACCCCACACACATACACAATGCATCCTTACACATACACAGAAACACACATGCACAGAAACATAATCCCTACTCACACACACACTGAAACATACAATGCATCCTCTACATCCTCTGTACATCCTCTACAGTAACACATAACACATCCCCTACACACATACACTCCACTCCCTGCGAGCGAACTCATGGGTGTCCTTGTAGGCATCAGGCTTATGGGCAGGCCTTGTAGGCATACTCACGGTCAGGCCCTGGGGGCCCAGACCGTGATCTGTGTAAGGGGCCCCAAAAAATGGAGCTTCTCCCTGTTCGTTGTTTTTGTGAGCAGTGTTTTAACACCAGACCAGTGGAGCCAGACTGCAGCCTGAGCCCACCATCCCCTTGTCCTCATCTGGTGGTAAGTGGGCAATCCAGTATATTATTAGTGGCACTAATCTCTAATTTACCTCACATAAAGGGCCACTATTTTATTATTATTATTGCCATTTATGTATATATTGTATATTTTTGCACACTTTATTAATTATGTTTTGTGACTTTTTTTAAGAGCTGGCAGGGCTCAATGTGGTTATTACCTTCCACCAGTCATTGTAGCTAAATAAATAAATATTCAGGTAATCAGACACTACTGTGAGAAATCTGTGTTGATACTAAAGTAAGATTCTTTAAAGACTTGTTTGCAAAAAGGGCTACTCCAATAAAAAACAAACAAACTGTGTTTTAATAAAACACTGGTCATGATCAGAGTAACTCTTACTAATATGGCACACCCCCTCAATAAATAAACAAATATATTTGCCCAAATTCCAGCACCAAGTTCTCTCGGCAAGACTGATCCTCCTCTGGTGACATGGACAAAAGGAAAGAATGATCTGTCACTAATTGATGTAAGAAAAGAATATAAACAAAATACTTTATTAATAAAGGTTAAGACAAACGATCACACACACCTGCTCGATCCCTGATCCCCGCTATCTCGATAATGGATAATCGAGGTAGCCAATGTAATCAAGTGTTATGTGTATATACGAACAGGATTAGGAGTAAGAAAAAATAATTTAAAAAAATAGATGTATATATAGAAACACGGGTATAAACCCAAAAAGAAAAGAATATATAATAATAATAATACCAAAAAATAATAATAGTAACAAGTAACTGCACAGTATGTGTAGTCAAAAAGAAATGAAGGCTACTTGGCAATATTGTCATTCAAAAAAACTATATATGTATATACAAAAAGTAACTATCAAGTCGCTGCGCGATATGCGCAGTCAAGTGATCATAAAAAGTACTTGACACTGTTGTCATACAAAAAGTAAATGATACAAAAGTAGCTAGAATTGATTTGCATATGAGTGGGTTAAGTTGCCATATGTCTAGAAAAGAAGATTGCCGATAGAATGGCTACCTAAAGGTCTGTATGCTAGGATCAGCACCTAAACAATGGTTGCCATATATTGCTATAATCAGCAAGATGGCAAAAAATAATAATAATGAGGAATTAAATAGATAAGCCCCCAGATAATCCTAATGGGTAGCTGTGCACAAAATGTAACACCATAAATGGCAACTTAACTTGTAATGCAAGAATAAACAAATACCGAATAATTTAATTACTAGATATAACTAAAGGGTTAATATCCCGCTGAAACCCAGAAGAAATATATAGAGTCCTGAATTCACAATAATATATAGTGAAATATCGTAGCAAAAAAGGTTCTCATCTGTGCCTTCAAGGGCACCTATCTGTGTAAAGTATAGAGGACTTACTAGCTGTACTATTGAAAACAAGGATAGTCCTAATAGAAAGGAATAGTGGCAAAGTAAGTCCTACTCTGTGCCTTCGTGGGCACCTATCTGTATAAAGTAACAGGGACTAGCCAGCTATGCTTATAGATATAAGTAGAATCCTGAGAATGGAATGATATCCCTAGTACAGCGTTCTAGTAGCTCTGATCTGTGCCTTCGTGGGCACCTATATGTTCTAGTCATAGAGCTAAGCTAAATTCTCAGCCAGGTTCCAGTGTAGACAGGTCCTCGGTGTAGCAATAATAACACAAATAAGATCTAAGGTGCAAGGTGGCATAACAGGGTGATTATCCATTATAGAGATAGCGGGGATCAGGGATCGAGCAGGTGTGTGTGATTGTTTGTTTTAACCTTTATTAATAAAGTATTTTGTTTATATTCTTTTCTTACATCAATTAGTGACAGATCATTCTTTCCTTTTGTCTCTATCTATTATCTTAGGTTTACCCCCTTATCTGTTCACTACCATACCCATTGAGGACCCTTACAGGGCCAAATTTTCTTATCCTCTGGTGACATCGCTATCTTGTCGCCAGCATGCTGATGACAGAGGTCCAATATGCACAGAACTGACATTGATCAACCTAGAACGCGCCTTATTGTGCTGTCTGGTGACCCTCTTGTCAGTTGCACTCCCATGCATGGTGATTCCGATACAATTGGGCCCAAATAGTCCATAAGGCAACCCAATGCCTTTCATGTATGTGAGATACTTTCAGAGTTAGAATGACATTGGAACTCTGCTCGCTGTTCTCTGTAATGTGCAGTTTTAACTGAAGCTGTCAATTCTCTATGTAAATAACACCAAGGCCTCAAAAAAATGTGAAAATCACTAATTACTCGTGTTAAAACTTTTTTCATGTGGTGATCTGTTTTCTTTTAAATGTATATTAAAAATGGAGCAATTTGACTTCACAATCCCGTTCAGCCCTGGCACAATCAGGGCACACATTGTATTGGAGAAGGAGAATTGGACACTTTGTTTACGCTTTCCATTCTGCTTTCTAAGCGTATTGACAGGAGCAAAGGGCAGAGCTTGCAACAATGGTTGTCAGGGCCAATACGGAGACACGGCTCCAGGCTAGTGTGGTGCGGATAGGTACAGTTATTTTTGTTTCCTAAACCAGACAGACACAAAAATATACATTCTTCAAGCCAGTTATACTTTTAATTCACCTACTGCATCCTTTATGAATTATTGAACATATAACAGAGAAAAAAAACAAAAACAGGTCTGTCTAGTTTTGGGTTGGTCCATGGCAAAACAAATAATTTCAGTAGATAATGTCAAAATGAAAATGTACTTTTCAAAGTAACTTGGGGAGGAAGAGGTTTGACAAAAAAAATATTTAAATAAAATACTTGCGATTAACATATTTTATAAAATACACAGCAGTTTATATTGTACGGTTTTTCCCTTTAATATGAACATATTTTTTTGTACAAAATTTACACTCACAAAACACAATTGTCATTTTATACATACAGGATTTTAATAGTATAACATTTCTTAATTTTACAAAATAAAAGTATGAAAAATAACTTCACAGTATTCTGTATGCAGAGGCGTAACTAGAAACCACGGGGCCCCGGTGCGAAAATAGCTCTGGGCCCCCAGGCCATATGTTTACCCACCACCCATACGTCCCTAATCCCCCTCCCACACACACATGCAGACAAGAAGATACACATGCAGACACACACATACATGTAGACACACACAATCACAGACATACATACGAACACACAGACACATACATACAGAGACACATACATTTACACACACACACACACATACAGACACATTCAAAATGTCACCCTCCTGTTTCCTACACTTTAGGTGCAGGAGGGTGGCTTTCCCTGGGGTCCAATGGCTCAGGCTGATGGGAGTCAGAGTTCCCACTCTGACTCTCTCCTCTCTTTCTCCCGCGCGTCTCTCTCTGATTGCTGGGAGAAAGTGACCAGGGCAGTCACTTCCTTCCAGCCTCTGATGTCATCACAGGTGGCCCGGTCGCGGTGATAAAGCACCGCAGTGCTGACTGGGCCCCCTGGAAATTCATTTCAATCGGGTGGCCCTAACAGCATGGGCCCCTTAACGTGCAGCCCCAGCGGTTCTACCACGCAGGCCGGGGCCGCAACACATGGCAGTGGTCACCCGGTCGCAGGGATCCACAGGGCAGCCAGGCCCCCTAAAGTGATGGGCTCAGTAGCAGCTGTGACCGCGGTAGTTCCACCACATTCTGTATAGTAACACCCGATTAGTTTGGAACCTTCACAGACAAACTCTCTATAAATGATGGTAGAAATGTAATGGAAGGGAAGTGGGGGGAGGATAGGAGGAAATAAGAAATGTAACAACAAATGTTTGCACCCAGTTGCAGAAAATCTATGGCACTTGTTTAGTCTTGGCGCCTTCTCTGGATACCTCTGTGATAAGAGGCTAAGCACAGTATAGTATAAATACATACGTAAGGTGGAGCTTCTAAATAACTGTTTAGTAGATAGTAGATGTAGTGCAATACAGTATTATCAAGTATAACATATATTAAATGCAAGAGTGGTGTCACTCACAAATCTGGAGTCATACTCTCATATGACTCAATGATGTGCGCTTGTGGACCATTAAAAGGATGTCCAGATCCCTCTTTTGTGCAATGCTCTGTCTTGTTCCACCTTTGACCAGATCAGGATAGCGTAGATGTCAAATCAAAGAAGTTTCTTCCAAAAAAAAAAAAAGGTGCTTTATTGGTTTAAAATACACTCAAGTATAAAATAAATAAAATATAGTATACCATATCAAGTTCTGGATTAACTGTATAGTCCAAACAAATGTCCAAAGTATCCAAAACGCGTTTCACCCGATAAAACGGGCTTCCTCAGTTGGCTTTGATGTATCTCACTGCTTCTCTCCTCTCTTAAATTGCCCGCTTAATCTGTACTTCCGGATTCCCCCTCTACTCTCCATTCACTTCCGGGTTCCCTCTACGGGCAGTTGGAATGCAACGTGCGTCCCATCATTATGACGTCACTTCCTGGTACTCCTTCCAGATTCTACTTACACTCTGGTGGAACGCATCGTGCGTTCCAACCTCTTGACGCCTCTTCCTCATAAACCGCCCCTATCGGCTCATTTTAGTGAAAAAACTATTTATTACATGAGTAGTTCGATGGCATATTAAATATGTACAATATAATTGTCTATTATGTGCATCTTCACACTTATTTGTTTAAGTGAGCAAGTTCGAAAGTTCTAAAAAGAGACATACATCAATATTAATAAAATATCAATGCATCAATGAATATTGATTCTTCTAAAATATTCTAGATAAAAATTATATATTAAGACAAGGCAAATAGCATTCACTTTTGAGAAAGCTTCGGCGAAACGCGTCAAGTGAGGAAGAATTTTGGACTTTTAAACAGGACTGGTTTTATAGTTTATTATTCACTTTTTACTTATTGTATTAAAGTATATATATTTTTTAAACTATCCAGTCATTCCTTTTGTCCTCCTTCCTATCCAATACTGCTTTGCTGCTATACCTGGGTCCACTATATCCCAAGGTGGGGATTATTCCACCTGAAATTCTCCAAACTAGAGCAGGTCGTTGCTCTAGTATATGTAAGTAGGATCATCCACTTTTTTTTCACAATATTTTATATTTACGTACTATACCATGTGGTGTATTTTACTCTTGTTTTTCATGTAACGAATATTTACACCTATAAATTCACCAACGGTCTTGAACCTCAAGAAATCCATAGACGGGGATTATTCCGTCCAGGCTCTTAACACCGAGCTGATATAGCTCCTCAAAGTGTGAGTGTGAATATAACACCTTTGTTCTTGTGGAATTATATCGTTCATACATACTGTACCATTATTTGTATTTTTGTTTCTCTTTTTTTTTTAAGTTACTCTGCTGGCCAGTATTTCTACAAAACGTATGTACATTTTCTGATTTTTAGCGCTGTTCACCTTTCTATTTTAAATAGCATTGAGGGTATGACTCCAGATTTGTGAGTAACACCACTCTTGCATTTAATATAAGTTATACTTAACAATACTGTATTGCACTAGTGTTTTATAATTTTATTTTTCAGGCTATCTACTAAACAGTTATTTAGAAGCTCCACCTTACGTATGTATATATATTGTTCATTTTCTAAAGTGGTGTAGGGGGTACCACTTTTAGGCGTGTAGAGCTTTTCATTAACTCCTTTACACATTGTACACTTATTCGTTATTATAAGCACAGTATAGCACAACACAGACAGGAAGTAGGGAGTTGAAATAGGAAATGGGTGGTATGTGCACCAAGTGATCTTGTGTGCAAAATACACACACTCCAGAACTTAGATTTATTATAAAGTAATAACCCAACCCATTCGTAAAGCACTAGGAGCCGTCTTTTTCTGTGCTTATAGAAATAAATAATGATTTAAATTTTTATACTAATAGAGAGCGCTAACTCAATTTATTTATGTTGATGACAGAACAAACCCTTGGAAATTCTGCAACTTTCTATTCCTACAACACTAAAAATATCCACACGTATATTAATTACTTTGTAAGTGATAGGGATTAATTTGCTGAATGCAATTAAATTTACATAAAATGCTTCTTTGGTGAACATCATGCATAATATAGAATTTAACAATAAAGAATCTTAACAATCATATGCATGCCTAGTGAACAGGCACTATAGAAAAGGAAAAAAAATAGAAAAAACAACTCTGAAAATACAGACAAATTTAAAACTTAGAAACATCGGAGAAGTGTAAATTTCAAAATGCAAGTCGCCCAATGAAGACAAGTTTAAAAAAAAAAAAGCAAAATAACGCTCCCTTATAGTCCTCCTGAGCTCTAGTGAGAAAATAAAAGTCCTCCTGAGCTCTAGTGAGAAAAAAAAAAAAAAGAACATTAGAGAGGAACCGGCACTACTGACAAGTATATGGATGGGTGCAGGTACCAGAAGTTTCTTTATACAGACCCCAAAGTCAAACTAAATTAATAATAATAGAGCCACAACACCAAAATCTTAAGGAAGGAGTTTTATTCCACCAAAGTGGAGCTGGCAACGTTTTGACCAAAATCACATGGTCTTTGTCACACTTAGCGAGAAGATGGTCTGGGGTTATGATGTCATAGCATGGTGTTTTGTATAAGCATCTTTGATTGACCTCCAGCATTGAGGCTTCAAGGACCCCAACATATAGGAAGGTTATATGGTGCTATGATTTAAGAGAGGATATTTTGTTGTCAAAATGGGAGAAGGAGAAGAAGAGGGAGGAAATGAAGTAAATTCTGGATTTGAGTAGTTTGGTCACTTATGCCGCTTCACTTTAAACAAACTGCTAGCATAAAGATATTCTAAAGTGGACTATGCATCTAAAACAGCATTGTGGACATAGGTTAATGCAAAAGGTCTATCTGTGAGACTTTTCATTAAATACAAATACGGAGTGTAAGCAACATTTGTGACATTTCATAAAGTTAAAAAAATAATCCAAAAAACTATCTGCAGGTGCACCCGGAAAAAACGTAAACCATGTTTCACTCACACTTAATAGAAAAAAAACAACAAAACAAAAAAAACATAAAAAATTTAAATGGAAATATTAACGAAAATCTCTTATTTGCATGCATATTTGAACTCTCAAGTACATACTTTGTGTAGAACACCCCAACTTTTCAGACATAGTAATACAGCTAAGATTGTAATTTTGGGTTAATCACTGTACAGCCATATGGTGTGATACAATCCCACCTATTTACTTGAGAACCATAATTCTAATAAACATTGGAAGGTTTCAAACTACATTTGCTGTGTGATGTTAATTTAAACCCTTAATACAAATAGGGGTTAAGCAAATCCATTATATCATGATTGACCCAATACATCAACTGTCATTAAGTGGTGAAATAGTACTTGTGGATAAACATACAGTATTTCACAAACGTGAGTACACCTCTCACATTTTTGTAAATATCTTATTATATTTTTTCATGTGACAACACTGAAGAAATGACACTCTGCTACAATGTAAAGTAGTAAGTGTACAGCCTGTATAACAGTGTACATTTGCTGTCCCCTCAAAATAACTCCACACACAGCCATTAATGGCTAAACCGTTGGCAACAAAAGTGAGTACACCATTAGTGGAAATGTCCAAATTGGGCCCAATTAGCCATTTTCCCTCCCCGGTGTCATGTGACTCGTTAGTGTTACAATGTCTCATGTGTGAATGGGGAGCACGTGTGTTAAATTTGGTTATCACTCTCACACTGGTCACTGGAAGTTCAACATGGCACCTCATGGCAAAGAACTCTCTGAGGATCTGAAAAAAAGAATTGTTGCTCTATATAAAGATGGCCTAGGCTATAAGAAGATTGCCAAGACCCTGAAACTGAGCTGCAGCACGGTGGGCAAGACCATACAGTGGTTTTCACAGGACAGGTTCCACTCAGAACAGGCTTTGCCATGGTCGACCAAAGAAGTTGAGTGCACATGCTCAGCGTCATATCCAGAGGTTGTCTTTGGGAAATAGATGTATGAATGCTGCCAGCATTGCTGCAGAGGTTGAAGGGGTGGGGGGTCAGCCTGTCAGTGCTCAGACCATACGCCGCACACTGCATCAAATAGGTCTGCATGGCTGTCGTCCCAGAAGGAAGCCTCTTCTAAAGATGATGCACAAGAAAGCCGGCAATCAGTTTGCTGAAGACAAACAGAATAAAGACATGGATTACTGGAACCATGTCCTGTGGTCCGATGAGACCAAGATAAACATATTTGGTTCAGATGATGTCAAGCATGTGCGGCGGCAACCAGGTTAGGAGTACAAAAACAAGCGTACAGTGTCTTGCCTACAGTCAGTGTCATGGTCTGGGCCTGCATGAGTGCTGCCGGTACTGGGGAGCTACAGTTAATTTTGGGAACCATGAATGCCAACATGTACTGTGACATACACAAGCAGAGCATGGTTCCCTCCCTTCAGAGTCTGGGCCGCAGGGCAGTATTCCAACATGATAACGACCCCAGCGGTTTAGACATTAATAGCTGTGTGTTGAGTTATTTAGAGGGGACAGCAAATCTACACTGTCATACAGGCTGTACACTTACTACTTTACATTGTAGCAGAGTGTTATTTCTTCAGTGTTGTCACATGAAAAGATATAAAATATATACAAAAATGTGAGGAGTGTACTGACTTTTGTGAGATACTGTATATGCTGTAAGTTTATACTACTGGTCACTAAGCTACATTAAAGGTTCTGGGATAAAACACAACTGAAAAATAAAAACAAAAACAGAATTGCATACAATACAAAGGATGATGAAATCATGCAGTTTAACTCGGTCTGAAGGTCAGGGAAACACTGTTAATACAGAATCTTTGACCAGAAGGAGCAGGACCATCTTCAAAGACATGACCAAGGTGAGCATCGCACTGCAAGAGAGTAGGAAAATATAGGAAATCCTTTTAAGGGTACTGATACAATACTGTGCAAGTATCACTGTGAATTCCTTACAAAATATGAGGTGAAAAAATGAATAGCAAAATTAAAGGGACACTCTAGTCACCAAACCAACTTTAGCGTAGTGAAGCAGTTTTTGTGTTTAGATCATGCCCCTGCAGTTTCACTGCTCAATTGTCTGCCATTTAGGAGTTAAATTATGTTTGTTTCTGTCTATGAAGACATGGCCACACCTCCCCGGCTGTGACTGACAGCCTGCATGAAAAAAAATGGTTTAATTTTCAATCACATGTTAACTTGCCTTATGAGTTTTTATCACCTGCTCTGCAAATTGAACTTTAAATGACACACAGGAAGCTCATGTAGGGTCTAGGAAGCTATTAACAGTGCAGGAGTTAAGAACATCTAAATTAAACCGAATTTGCAATAAAGGAAGTGTAAACATTAGATGACTCTTTACAGGAAGTGTTCAGAAATTCGGTGTCAGTCACATGCAATAAGGTGTGACTAGGTCTGCATAAACAAAGTGATTTAACTCCTAAATGGCAGAGATGTGAGCATTAAGACTGCAGTGGCTTGATCTATCTACCAAAACTACTTCATTACCTAAATTTTACAGTTTACAAGAAATTGGTCCACATCACCGATAAAACCATAAATGGTTATTAAAAGGAACTTCACATTTTTTAATAATAACAATTAAAAACACAACTTTTTTAAATTGTAGATTTGTATCAAATATGTCCTATGTGCTAATATACATAATGGAAATCATGGGAAAATTGCATTATTTAATCCCTTTGTATAGCTATACATTTGCTAGCGATATGACTAGTACAACATATAGCTAAAATTGCCAGGACTAGAATACTGAACCCTACAACGCGGTACCCTGTGACACTTGCTTTAAGAGCAGAGTCTTTGTTTTTGCATAGAATACAGACGTGACTACCTCTTTGCAGATGACTTCAGTCCCAGTACATCCTAGAGAGTTATCTGGTCGCCTCAATATATTCGTGTTGCTTTCATCAGTCCCTTGGGTGCCATAGGCTTCTGAAAAAGAAGGCCAGCCAGTCCCAGAATTGTACTTCTTGTCAGAACTAGTAAGGAGAAAAAGAATGCTTTAAAAATGACCCAGTAACACATAAGGGTTTATTGACTAAAAGCTTTGTGAAATCAAGTTATAGTGCATTGAAACAGGGACTAAAACAGAATGGTAGAATATAGAACACTGTATTGCAAAATTCTTCAATTCATAAACTACCATTGCTATTTATGTAGCTAAATATTTACGGAAATGAAAATTAGGTTTCACCTGCAATTAGGCTCCTTAAAGCAAACTAGTCCAGGTGAATTGTTTTAGATAATGCATTTAATAAAAAGAAAATCTTTAAAGATCCTGAAACTGCAGAACTTGTACAGACACCTGCTGCAGCTGGTGGAGACCTCCCAGACCAGCCTCGATGTCCTACCAGTTTGGAGCAACTCATTGATTCCCATTTTCTGTCATTCCATAAAATCACTGTTCAGCTGGTCATCTATGAGATATGTAATTCAAGCCCAGCCATAGTTTGACTCAGCAATCTAATAATAGTTGCTATCAGCTTATTCATAGAATGGGTCACGGTATGGGTACAGGGGTAAGTGCAGTGATTTCTAATCCTGGTCTACGAGGACCTCAAAAAGCTGTTTAAAATGTTCATATATTAGCGCGATTTTACTGGACAACTCCTTATCATTACTATTGGTGTAATAGCACTTCTTTCTTATTGAATCATTTAATAGATCAGCTATTTAGGGAACGAACACTAGGTCTGAATGGCCATCTGTTTCACGAAGGATGATAGGAGTTTTAATCCGGCAAAAAACAACTTCACCACGACACCAAGTTGATAAGTGGAATGCACTCTAATAGCAATAATTTCTCCAAAATACTCTGGAAAAGACTGCAAAAACATTTTTCCTCTTAATAATTGCTGGGTCAGCAAAATATTTGGGATCGAAATGGTGAGTGGAAAAAAAAAAAAATATATATCAGGAGGATACTAATCAAATCAGCTTGACTTCCCATGGATTGTAAAGCTCAAATTTTACGGCTGAAATGAAAAAGGAATATAGTCACACTTCATAGATTGCATACACAGAGTCATGCTGCTCCTTGATAGCAAAATCGAGATCTTTCCGAGTGATTGCCGTTTGCTGTGCTCTTTGGAAATAATGGGTTTTCATTCATCCGATTGACCGGTGTATGTTCATATTGCAGTAATCTCAGCTGGAAAGAGGAATACAAGCAGAAAATAACAGTATTTACCTGAACAGTACAGAATTACAGCAAACACAGTGGTAAGTCCCTTCGTCTGTGTTGTTCAGGTAGATCCCACTGAAAGGCTGGAGATAGAAATATATTGTTAGCACAGCCAGAGGCCAGTTTCTGCTATCCGTGATTTACCATTTAAAAAACATGATACAAACTAATTACCTCTCATTGACAGCATGAAATAAATAGTGACATTTATTAAAATAAATAGAACGTGACTCATTAATGTGAGATTTGTCAGGACTTTAAAGTGGTTTTAAATTTTAGGATAATTTAGGGATTGGAAAATTTCTCAATAAAAAAGGCTTTTCAGGGTTTTCCATTTGGGCTCTTTTAGACTAAAGTTTCAAATTCACTTTGAATTAATTTATGATTTCTGACACTTTAGTGAATATGCCTGATAGAGAACAATGAACATCATAACAGTTAAACAAGAAGGGCATCAGCTGCAGTTTATGCATCCCATTAACAACTCCCACTGGTCTCAGCCAGACTGCTGCTGGCTGCCGGTGATAACCATTCCCACTGCAGAGATCTGAGAACTCCCCTTAAAGGGATACCAGGAATACAAAGCTGTATTAGCACTATCGCACTCATTGCCTCCCCCTCCCTCGCGCCCCCTGCTCGGATGAGTAAAGGGTTAAAACCCCTTTTTTTACTCACCCTATCTCAGTGCCGATGTCCCTCGGCGCTGGGCCAACGCTCTGCTCCCTCCCATGTCCCGCGACGAGCGGGCTCTAATGTGCATGCATGGCAAATGCCGCGCGCGCATTAGACCTCCCCACAGTAAAATGATTAAATCAATGCTTTCCTATGGAAAAAATCTGACGCTGGAGGTCCTCATGCAGAGTGTGAGGACGTCCCATATCAGATACCGAACCAATTCAGGAAGCCCTCTTATGGCTGTCTGGTAGACAGCCACTGAGGGCAGACTTAGAGCTGCAATGTAAACATTGCAGTTTCTATGGAACTGCAATGTTTAACATTGCAGCACTAAGTGCAATAGGGACATTGCACCAGACCACTTTAATTAGCTGAAGTGCTCTGGGTGCCTACAGTGTCCCCAGTGGCGTACATATAAAGGTCGTGTCATGTTTTGCAGCCCCGGCTCGCACGGCAAACTGCCCGGTACCACGGTGATGACATCACACACTGAGAGGAAGTCACTCCTCCCAGCTATCAGAAAGCCGCGTGGGAGGAAGCAGAGGAGGGAGTCAGAGTGGGAACTCTGACTCCCATCAACCTGAGCCACCACTGGACCCCAGGGAAAGTCACCTAAAAGGTAGGAAATAGGAGGGTGACAAACATTTTTTATATATGTGTGTGTGTATGCGTCTGTGTGTGTGTATGTATGTGTGCCTGTCTGTTTGTATGTATGTGTCTGTCTGTATGTATGTGTCTGTCTGTTTGTATGTATGTGTGTCTTGTGTGTTTCTGTCTGTATGTGTGTGTCTGTTTGTTTGTGTGTCTGTATGTGTCGTCTGTATGTATGTGTCTGTCTGTATGTGTGTGTGTCAGTCTGTATGTATGTGTCTGTGTGTCTTGTGCGTGTCTGTCTGTGTGTATGTGTACACGTGTCTATGTGCGTGTGTGACTCTGTATGTATGTATGTATGTATGTGTGTGTCTGTTGGGGGGAGGAAAGGGGGGGCATGGATCAGTTTCGCACCAGGGCCCCATGTATTGTGTGTACACCACTGAGTGTCCCTTTAAGTAGCATCACCTGGAGGGAAAGGGTGATGAGAGAGTATAGTTCCACTATATTTGTCTGTCTCTACCATAAGTCCCTCAACCTACCAGTTCTGTTCCCTTTTCTCGTGTGACGTAGTACTGTTCAGGAGTGAGCTTCTTCTGCCAATCTGTGGAAGTGGCGGTCTCATCATATCTTGTAAGGGAACCCAAATCTAGAAAAATATTTTTAAAAATAAATAAAAACATTTTTGTATAATTATTATTTAACTAGATTGCAGAAATTGCAAGAAATAGTCAGATTTAAAAAACAAAACAAAACTTTTTTTTATAATTCTTTATTTTTGTTGTGCACAGATTAACAAACAGCCTCAGTCTGCCATAACAGCGTTGTCAAGGTATATAGAAATTCAATATGCAATACAAGATGTGATGTTTGCTATTTAGGCACAATTTTTGTTTTAAGGTAAGAGATAGATAAGTCAGGCTAGTGAGTTCAAGAACAGTAGGCTGAGTAAGTTGAGCTGACAGTTAAGGTTATTCAGTTAGGACAAGAGTAGTCAAATATGTGTTCTAAAACTTACACATTATTTATAAGAACAGCGAACTGAGTTTAACACATTTGCTAGGCAAGGATAGGTTAATACACCGCCGGCACTTACAGTGCCCCTCCAAGACCAAGGTGAGTATAGTGAATATGGCGTAGTGTGACAGAAAACAAAGGCATAAAGAACAAGGTAAACCATGAGTTGAAGCACATAACCACTTGCAGATTCAGGTTACTTAGGCACGGTAGGGCATGTTAAGTCCACGTTCAACCGACTCCTGACATCGGGAAGTGCAGGAAATCTGCTAGGCAGTCCTTCAGGGCCTTGAGCATATTTGGAGGCCAGTGATGCAGAGTGGTCACAGGGGATCCGATTTTGGTTAGTGTCGGCACCTGCCACTGTGTCAGTTTGCCTGTCGCTGCACTGTGCCGCTTGCATGGTTCGCCATAGTGGGGGCCTCCCCTCAGTCACAGCTGATCACTCTAGATGGCGTGTCCAGCCTGGACAGAGCTTCGCTGACCGTGAAGGACGCACCTAAATACGCCTGTGGAAGTGCTGTGCCTGCCTCCATCTTGAGGTCGGCCACTCTGCACACTGCTGCCTGGGGTAGGGTGAGTCTGCGTGCGGATAGGTGTCAGCTGCTGTGGAGGTGGGACCGGGAGGACTCCCACCGGTCCAAAAGGGGGGAAGGGACGCAGAGCTCAACCGCCGTTCAGCCCACATGAGTCAGCTGAGAAATGTGGCCGCCACTCCAGGACAAGACAGTGCTAGGCAGGATTGTTGCTCCGCTGCAGGATCTTTGCAGAATCACACCAGCCATTGCCCAGGGGGTCCTAGACACAGTCAGGTATCTTCAAAAGTCGTTTGCACAGACATTGGATTGTTTTAGTGTGAGTTAGTTGAGGAGTCCATGTTACATGCGACTGCTTATCATGGCGGTCAGGCCCTGCCCCCAAAAACAAAAAAAACTTTTTATTGGTGGTATATTAGAAATGACAAACAATAAGGACTAGACACACAAACATAATTAAATGGAACTGGTTATAGCTTTTATATTGTGGATTCCCTAAACATACACAAAGCTCACGGAATTAAATATCTAGAAACTGTTCCAGTGGTTTTAATATATACCTGGATAACACCAAAATCCATCTTGTCTACAGGATTTCTACATATAGTTTAATGTTGATATTTCAGCTGAATTTTCTATTAGAATCTTTTTTCATAACTCGCATATTAACATTAATTTCAATCAGCCGGCACGCACGGTCACATGGAGTGAGAGCTCCCGGCAGCAACAGACCCGACCGCGTTTATAAAGCAGATAAGACGATCTGAATCCCGGCAAATCGCTACCCGCTGACAGGTACCGACACCATGGCCCCCTCCAAACAAATTAAAATGACGGATCAAATAAAATCCGCCAGAAAAGACAAGGGCAAATCTCCACAAGATGGCGACGACAGCATGGGCCTTCCTCCTGCACCAGACCAGCTAACTGAAACTGACACAGCCTCATATTCCTACACAGAGGCACAAGTTAGTGAAAAAAGGCTGTTCACCATGCTGCAAGATCTGAGAACAACTTTAAATGCGGACATGAAAAAAATGACTGCAGAATTTAAACGGGAACTGAACGAAATAGGTGATCGCACAGACCGCCTGGAAGTGCGGACGGAAGAAATCTGCTCCTCAGAAAACGACTTTGCAGAGCAACTGCGCACGCTCCAAGAAGAGCACATACTTCTAAAAAGGAAAACTGCAGACATAGAGGATCGCTCAAGGCGAAATAATGTAAGATTCCGAGGAATCCCAGACAGCGTCACACATGACGCTCTCCCTGATTACATACTAAGCCTAAGCACCACCTTGGCACCGGCCGTAGAGAAAGAAGGCTGGCTCATGGATAGGGCTCACTGTACAGGGAGTGCAGAATTATTAGGCAAGTTGTATTTTTGAGGATTAATTTTATTATTGAACAACAACCATGTTCTCAATGAACCCAAAAAACTCATTAATATCAAAGCTGAATATTTTTGGAAGTAGTTTTTAGTTTGTTTTTAGTTATAGCTATGTTAGGGGGGATATCTGTGTGTGCAGGTGACTATTACTGTGCATAATTATTAGGCAACTTAACAAAAAACAAATATATACCCATTTCAATTATTTATTATTACCAGTGAAACCAATATAACATCTCAACATTCACAAATATACATTTCTGACATTCAAAAACAAAACAAAAACAAATCAGTGACCAATATAGCCACCTTTCTTTGCAAGGGCACTCAAAAGCCTGCCATCCATGGATTCTGTCAGTGTTTGATCTGTTCACCATCAACATTGCGTGCAGCAGCAACCACAGCCTCCCAGACACTGTTCAGAGAGGTGTACTGTTTTCCCTCCTTGTAAATCTCACATTTTGATGATGGACCACAGGTTCTCAATGGGGTTCAGATCAGGTGAACAAGGAGGCCATGTCATTAGATTTTATTCTTTTATACCCTTTCTTGCCAGCCACGCTGTGGAGTACTTGGACGCGTGTGATGGAGCATTGTCCTGCATGAAAATCATGTTTTTTCTTGAAGGATGCAGACTTCTTCCTGTACCACTGCTTGAAGAAGGTGTCTTCCAGGAACTGGCAGTAGGACTGGGAGTTGAGCTTGACTCCATCCTCAACCCGAAAAAGGCCCCACAAGCTCATCTTTGATGATACCAGCCCAAACCAGTACTCCACCTCCACCTTGCTGGCGTCTGAGTAGGACTGGAGCTCTCTGCCCTTTACCAATCCAGCCACGGGCCCATCCATCTGGCCCATCAAGACTCACTCTCATTTCATCAGTCCATAAAACCTTAGAAAAATCAGTCTTGAGATATTTCTTGGCCCAGTCTTGGCGTTTCAGCTTGTGTGTCTTGTTCAGTGGTGGTCGTCTTTCAGCCTTTCTTACCTTGGCCATGTCTCTGAGTATTGCATACCTTGTGCTTTTGGGCACTCCAGTGATGTTGCAGCTCTGAAATATGGCTAAACTGGTGGCAAGTGGCATCGTGGCAGCTGCACGCTTGACTTTTCTCAGTTCATGGGCAGTTATTTTGCGCCTTGGTTTTTCCACACGCTTCTTGCGACCCTGTTGACTATTTTGAATGAAGCGCTTGATTGTTCGATGATCACGCTTCAGAAGCTTTGCAATTTTAAGAGTGCTGCATCCCTCTGCAAGATATCTCACTATTTTTGACTTTTCTGAGCCTGTCAAGTCCTTCTTTTGACCCATTTTGCCAAAGGAAAGAAGTTGCCTAATAATTATGCACACCTGATATAGGGTGTTGATGTCATTAGACCACACCCCTTCTCATTACAGAGATGCACATCACCTAATATGCTTAATTGGTAGTAGGCTTTCGAGTCTATACAGCTTGGAGTAAGACAACATGCATAAAGAGGATGATGTGGTCAAAATACTCATTTGCCTAATAATTCTGCACTCCCTGTATTCCGAGACCCCCGCGCTTCACAACAGACACACCAAGGGACACGGTGGTCAGATTTCACTATTTCAAATCCAAAGAAGCGCTGATGACCGCAGCACGCAAATTACAACGATTACCAGAGCCGTACCAAGACATCCAAGTATTTGCCGATTTATCAGCACTCACTATGGAAAGAAGACGGGAATTCGTCTGTCACGAACACGCTGCGCAATCACAACATACAATATCGTTGGGGATACCCGACCAAGCTCTTGATATGGAAAGACAACAAACACCACAACATCGAGGAACCAGCTGAAGGCCTGAAACTTCTACGGGAGTGGGGACTGTTCAGATCTCAAGACGCTTCTGCACAAAGCTCCAAACTGCCTCAGCGGACAGAATGGCACATGGCGGGCTCGCCTAGAAAACAGCAGCGAGATACCCAAAAGGACTAAATGTTTGCAACACCCGCACGACCGGGACTGTATGTGACACCCCTCCACTGACGGATGCCAATCTGTATGTATACCATGCCACACTTCACCGCACAACACGACATACACATACATTAATATTTACGAATACGCAGTTCTATATATGCACACCACAATAATTTCCACCGCACGAAAACGTTATATACCAGATGTCTTTGAATAAGCCCCTCTTCTGGGGGTGACACATATCTAACAACAACACACAAACAATAAAAAACAAAAAACAAAAAAAAACACACACACCAGTAAAGCACACAAAGGTTCTAACAACCGAATATGTCTTATGATTGAAACCATGTTTAAAGGGTCTCGGCCACGGCTGCCCTCCGTAGACCTCGCCCCCCAGATTGACCTGCTGCCCGGCTGAGGCCCGGGTTGCAGACCAATCGAGTAGAATGCCCAAAACCAATGCGGCACCCTGTACATACTTTATTTACTTAGTTTCATTTATGTTTATGTTTTTATATCCGTTTATATCTCTTTTCATTATCTGGTTGTACTGCTTGAAAACCTGTAGACCTGACCACAATATGCAAACCCCAACCTATTCCCACAGCCCGCGGACTAAAATCCGCCGTGAACCAACACGCATTTTCACGGAAACCCCCCCCCCGAAGTCAATCTAGCGTTTACTAAACAGCATAACCTGACTCTTATTTCCAATGGCTAACTCAATGCAGTTATTCTCCCTTAACATCAAAGGCCTTAACAGCCCCCACAAGCGCAGACTGGTAGCGCAGGAAATGCGCTCGTCCAAAGCAGCAATAGCCTGTCTGCAGGAAACCCACTTTTGTAGACGAAACCCACCAAAATTCTCTGTGAAACAATATACGCAGGCCTTTCACACATTCTCCCCAACAAAATCAAGAGGGGTCTCCATATTTTTCCATGATGACTGGACATTTACGATGAGCACACAACACGCAAACAGGGATGGCCGGCTACTCATACTGGTAGGCTCCCTAAATGGCATAGTGATCAAGATAGCCTCACTATACGCCCCCAACGTAGATCAAAAATCCTTCCTACCCTCAGCACTAAAAAAGCTGTACAGATATAAACGAGGACACGTGATCCTATGCGGTGACTTTAACTGCACAGCTGACCCACAAATAGACATGAAACAAACAGAGAACGAAGCTCCCAAAAGGCCATCTATCTTATTAGGTCGACACCTCACTAATCTACTCCTAACGCATGACTTGTATGACTCATGGAGATGCCTATACCCCGCGGAGAGGGACTACACATATTACTCCCCGGTCCACATGACCTACTCCAGGATAGACCTATTTATCACCGACAAAGATACCCTAACACACCTCACAGACGTGCGCTCCGCGTCCCATACCCGGCTCGTGGCAGAGGCACGTGGCGATTAAATGAAGCCCTGCTAGATGTCCCAGAGAACTTCAAAAATATAGAAAAACAGATAACTGACTTTTTTGCCAATCACGCATCATGTACAATGCCCATTTCGACTCAATAGGTAACACACAAGGTGGTCCTGAGAGGGGCGCTCATTCAACTGGGGGCCAATAGCAAAAGACGGGCTTGCGCACAGAAAGCGAAGCTGCTGACAACACTTACTAAATTAGAAGCTACACATTGCAAGAACCCCCAAAAACATACCCAAAAGCAATTAGAACAAATACGGTTACAATTAAATGCATTAGCCCTAAATACCACCGAAAAACACATGCGATACCTCAAACAAACCCATTATACGGGAAGTAATAAAGCAGAGAAAATGCTAGCTAGAAGGCTAAAGAAGAGATATCAAACCACCAAACTCCCATACATTATATCAGCGAAAGGAGACAAGTTATACAACCCTCAAGATATGGTAGAGGAACTAGCCTCCTATTATGCCTCACTATATCAGCTCGACAGGGACAACGCCACACATCAACCCACGGAAAGAGAATTACAAGCATTTTTCCACAACACTACCCTACCAGCACTCACCCAGGAACAAAAAACATCATTAGAGAGGCCATTCACAAACGAAGAAATTCGTTCCACGATAACGTCACTACCAAAACACAAAGCACCGGGCCCAGATGGGGTAACAAACTACTACTACCACAAATTTGGCGATACCCTTGCCCCACAACTTACCAAACTCTTCAACCATATAAAAGAAACAGGAGAAATCCCACCAGAAATGTTAGAAGCCCACATAGTAACTCTCCCAAAACCCAACAAAATGCCTACAATGTGTGCTAACCTCAGACCTATCTCGCTACTGAATGTCGATACAAAACTCTACGCTAAGTTGTTGGCAAACAGGATGAAACCACTCCTACCCAAGCTAGTTTCGAAGGAACAAGCAGGGTTCGTGCCTAGCCCTATACAGCTGCCCTTCGGCAAGAGTCCATAATACGGGTTTCCTCTCCAAACCTTTCCACATTCGCAATGGCACACGCCAAGGATGCCCACTGTCCCCACTCATCTGTGCCTAGAGCCCCTCATCTATCACATTAAACGTGACCCTCTAATCCCGGGACTGGACACCCCTGTGGGTGAACAAAAACTAGCCCTATTTGCAGACGACACACTAGTATTTCTGACAGACCCGATACAATCTATCCCAGTCCTTCTACAAATGCTGAACAAGTATGGCTCAGTGTCGTACTACAAAAATAATACAGCCAAAACCCAGGCTCTCCCCATCCGACTACCAAAGGCCACGATTAAAAAATTAGAAGAAACACATACATTTGAATGGCGATCTAAATTGATCCAATACTTAGGCATCAAACTAACAAACTCAATAAACTCACTAAACTACCGAAAACCATACACCTATGCTTCACAAACTCACAGCCTAAATGAGCCAATGGGAAGGGTTGGAAATATCATGGTTGGGGCTCATTAACTCCATTAAAATGAGGATTCTCCCCCACATGCTTTATCTATTCCGCACACTCCCCATACCATTGCCGACCAAAATGCCAAAAAGATTCCAGACTATCATTAACGCCCACATACGGAAACGGAAGCCTCCCAGAATGGCCACCGCCAAACTTAGCCTACCATTTGCAAAAGGTGGCTTAGGTGCTCCGGACATCCGTAATTACTACCGAGCATCTTTATTAGCACAAGGACTAAGACTACTCAGAACCCCAGATGCAGAACAAACCCCTCTATGGCTAGCTCTCGAGGATGCCTGCATACACCGAGCCACTCTGACTAATGCCCTCTGGACACCCGAACCAACATCCATAGGGAGTACCACACTATGGTGCACAAAAACCACTTTGAACACTTGGAGACAATGGGCCTCAGTGGTCATAGACACGCAAACACTATTCAAAGAAGCACCACTCACAGCACTGCAGGCCAGCTCACCCGACCTCCCACTACAAACATGGACGACCCTAGGGATCCGTAAAATTCAGGACCTATATAACCAAAACATGCTGAAAGCATTTCCTACCCTGCAAAGCGAGTTCTCCCTGAGCCCCAGAGAATTATTCAAATATTTAAGGGTCAAGCACATACTACAATCTCGCACTAAGCCGACAACACCCGTAAAACGGCCAGACACTCTTTCTGCCCGGTACATTCTGACATCCCGCTCTGTCAAACCCCTAGCCCTTTGCTATAATGCACTGGAACGAGAGAAATCCGAACACAAACTTCCTTACATAGAAAAGTGGGAAGGAGATATAGGGAAACCATTCACATTACAACAATGGCATGAGGTCTTTTACTTAACAAAACGGCATCTAAAAGCTTGTCCCTATGGGAAGCATATTGCAAGATAGCAATGCGCTGGTATCTGGTCCCCTTACGACTAGCAAGAATGTATCCCAACTCCTCCCCGTTGTGCTGGAGATGCAACCGCACAGCAGGGTCGTTGCTTCACATATTTTGGGACTGTCCAATCATAACTTCGTTCTGGACCTCAGTCCAAACACTCATACGCGAAACTACTAAATTAGCTATACCATTAGACCCTGTACATTACTTGCTGCATATGCTCCCCACGAGCAATTCAGTAAGACACCCAGCGACCATGACGCATTAAACATTAACTATAGCCAAAATTGCGATAGCCTCACAGTGGAAGGTCATAACGCCACCAACACTAGAGGAGGTAACAAAAAGGGTGGATAACGTATGCTTGTACGAGAGAATGGCACACAATTTACAAGGAACACCGGAAAAACATGGTATCCAATGGTGCGGGTGGCTCAATGCCCGAGCATTGGACGGTACAGACGAACAAGGCACTATAACACGTCGACACACGCCCAAGAGAAATAAGTGGGAGGGTCATGCTACATGCTACAAACCTTGCCACTAACCACACACACCGCAAGGTCCGATAGCATAACCAAACAAATACACAACAGGGAAATTCCAGGTTACACGGTTACACAAGTAGAGTTACTGTTGAATGTTACCCTTCCCTTAACTTTTTTCCTTTTGTACCCGATTGCATGACGCGATAGAAAATTAAGCTAGTGCGGTCATCAACAACAGAAAGCACAAGTGTCTATAGCTCCGAATTAAAAACAAAAACACCTCAAACGAGCTGTCACACAAACGAAGATATAACATAACATCGATGAAAAACAAATCTGGTGATGCTCATACGTTGCTATTAATGTTAACGATACTGCACGTATTATCATGTTATGTGTACATGTGCGTGATAAGCCGGTGAGGCCATATCTGATCGATGAGCTGCTACGTCAGCAATTGTGTAGTATTATTGTAATATTATTATATTATTTCTATCAGTGTATTTTTACCATTATTATTATTATGTCACGGTACTATGCACTGGAGTACTACCAAAACTAATAAAAAAGAAAACATTAATTTCAATCTTTAATTATCATACAGCTGTAGTTGAAATAGGAATTTGTTAGCGCGATCTAAACAATAATAATAATTAGTAAATGCTCTGATTGCAGTAGCTCAGGGTTAAAGGTCACTTTCACCCTCTAAAGGGCGTCTGAATGAGTAGGATTAATATGGGTAATAAATTATATTCACCTGGTAACTCAGTAGAATCTAAGAACATGTACACTTAAAATTACTTAATTAAGCTAAAGTTGTTTTGGTGACTATATGTCTCTTTAACTAGTCTGCAGAGTCAATTTGGTTAAATGAAATAGAAAACCACAAGTTTGTCTCTGAGTGCAAAGCAAACAGTGAATAATGGTGCTTAAAAATTAATAAAATCATAAACATGCTTGCTTGGATGTCTACGTGTTCCATGAGCTACATTTTCCTGTGTATATTGGCCGTAAAAGCTGCTCTTGAAACAGATTTTCCCATGGTGTTATAAGTCATCTGAGGACACTTATCCAGAGGCTTTCAAGAACATTTATAGCATGAAAACAGACACGACTATCTGGAAAATGCTAACTACCGCTGAGAGTTATACATTAACCAGCTGTGAGAAGAGAATACATTATATGTAACCATTAATATCTTTATTGTGAAACTTGATATTATGGCTTGTATTCTGGTCTGTCTAATCACCGCTTAACAGATAAATACATCACTGAATATTGCAAAGGCTTTTAATGTCTTGAATTAGATGGCAATTGGCAAAATTGGTTCATGAGCTGGAAATGATCTTGGGGAAGGCACAACAAAAGTATAAAAAAAAAAAATAATTCTCAATACTTGACACAGAGGGTTATCCACTATATGAACAGTCAGAAATTTAAAGTGAAAGTCAAATTTAAAGTTAAAATCAGAACTGAAGTAAGGCTGAAGTCTGAAACTCACTTTACATTTTTGAGAATTCCCATTTCAACCCTTTCATTATCGAGCACTTTTTAATTGAAACATTTTTTACCATGATATTTATTTGAAGCAAGGTTGTTTATAGATTGGGTTGCACACAAACTTAAAAGTTAAAGTTATGCAAATTTACACATTTTAATTTTATCGTTTATCCTTTATTAAAACTATTTGGGAAAAAAAAAGCTTTAGACAGTATACAGTGTCCCTTTACCTTGCAATATTTCACAGAGTGTCTTAAATGTTAGTAAAAATAATTAGTAAAAATGCATACTATTCCAACATACAGTAGGTATGACAAAAATATATAAATAAAAATGGTCAAATTCTTTGCTTAAAAGGGTATTTGTGATTACCGTACATAGCTGAAATGAGACATGTGCCCATCGAGATCAGCCTTTCTCACATCTGTTTTTGCTGTTGATACAAAATAAGGGAAAAACAAACCCCAGTTTGAAACACTTCCAATTTTGCAACAAACTAGGGGGTAAAATTAACTCTCGACCCCAGTATTGCAGTCAGAGCTCTCCTTTGATCTAGAAGTGGTTACCTCACATATTAAAAATTATATCCCTGAATATTGTGTTTTTGCAAGTATTTATCCTGTTGCTGTTTAAACATCTGTACAGACTCTGATAAAAAATATTTTTCCGACAGAAAAGTCCACTTACCTATCATTTTTACTGTAAAAAACCCTTTCCTTTGCCCTACACTAAATCTCCTTTCTTCCAGTCTAAACGCGTGACCTTGTGTCCTATGTATAGATTTCCAGACAATGGTTTGTATTGGCCCCGAATATATTTGTATACTGCTATCAAATTCCCTCTGAGGCGCAGTTATTTTAAACTAAACAGATTTAAATTTGTTAACCTTTCATACACAAGGTATGATCTTATCATTGATTCATAAAGAGGCAAAAATTATATTTATATCCTGAGAATTAATACGTGACAATACCTTACTGGCCATAGCAACTGCTAATTGACACATTGTTGCCTAGTTTGTTGTCTATAACTGTAACGGACCACCTGGCACCCCGACTGGGTACCTCCATTGACGGATGCTTCCTAGCTGACGCCGAGGACCAAAAGCACCACACCAGACACCACAACCACCGCAGACTCCACAACCGCCGTAGCTTAACTGGAGTCTCGCTGTCTTCCTTCCACCCTGTATGAACCTCCGACATCCAGGACCTTGTGGGAAAGACCTCTCCTCCAGGAGAGCGTATCAGGAACAGCTCTTAAAAGAGCTAAGTGATTAGACCTGAGGGGAGTATACAAAGTATAGCAATCCCCAGTGTGCATATAGCAGTTCCCTACAATAACGAGACAAGGCTATGTATTGAGGGTTAAGCAGATCTGAAGGTTTAATGGTACAGCTGCTTCTTTTATACAGTATTTCCTCACAAGGTTACCGCCCACATGGACCTTGTGGGGCACAGGACATGAAATGCACAATCCAATAAAAACAGAGTTTTTACATTTGAAGACTCCCAGTTACTGTACACAAACCCTCCCCTCTGCCTTTGATACAATTAACAAACACAATTACCCACAGGCAGAAAACACACATTTTTCACAAAACACAGAAAACACCACATATCCCCACAAATTGTACATCCCTGGATAGCCCTGATATGGGTGAACAACACACCCAAAAATCACCCAGATCAGAGCAGGGGTTCAAAAGTTTTCTGGAAGTCTCTTTTGACCAACCGCAAGCATGGCTTTCATGCCCAAAAGAATTCCACAGATTTTGGCTGTGCGGCCGGTCTATTTTCAATTTTTTTCAAAGCCTCCCGAGCCCTTCCCTCCCTCTGCTGGAACTAAGTGCCAGCGGGCCGGTGAAGCAGATCTTTGATCACTTCACCAGCCCGACAGTGCTTACAGCAAGGCTGACTCTGCATGGGCCGGCAGGGGAGGAGAAAGGATCTCCCCTGCTGGCCTTGGTCCACGCCCATCGAGGCCCACTGGGCATTTTCTGCAGACCCACACTGCTAGATATACACAGAGCTACAAAAGAAGCCTCCCTTTCATACAAATAATACATATTATTATGTATTATAATACATAATATTCTCCACAAATACAACATTACTGGCAATCCACATACAGGCACACAAAGCCCACAAGCAGTCATACAAATACACACACACACACCAACAAACACAATATGTGAAATATCATACACACACACACACACACACACACAATGCTTTCAGCAGGACAGTTGCGATTTTAGGGTCCTATCAGAGTCCTGTCATGCATCCAGGAACACCAAGGAACTTTGCCTTCGGTACAGAGCATGTGCATTATTAGATGCACTCGCCTTGTGTAACAGGCATTGGGACTATGCATAGAATACTTCAGCAGTGCTCTTTGTATGGTCTTGCAGGTCGGGAGGCGGTCTGTCAGACTGATACCAGACGGGCCCGACCATTATAATCGTGCCCACCAGTCCCAATTCCATACTGCCCAATGATGGAAGGTGTGCAAAAGTTAGTGTATGTTCTCGAATCCTGAATTTGTGAGTAAACAGGGCATTTAAAACGTTCACTTTAGTGTGGTCTTGTGTGATCATAAGACAAAACAAATAATAAAAAAAATGTATTACCTTTATATTTTCATTATGAAATAACACACACAGAAGGTATATAAACATTATCTTTCCTATCAGATCTTGGTGCACTACAGATTGGTGTAATGGTTGTGACGCAAGGAATGGGTGCATGTGAAGTCAATCAAAACGTGTTATTCACTAAAAACTGAGATGTGTCGGGAATCCAAAGTGAATATCACATTTTAAGTTAGAATACATGATCTAAAAACAGAGCTGACTTAGAATTTGTTTCCAATTTCAGTATATTGGCTTAAAATCTGTAATTCACTAAAAGTTCCCAATAATTCACATTTTATTGAATACCCCTGATGATAAATACGCCATGGGGGGGGGGGGGGTTCTGACTAAACACCAAATTGACATTGAGGCTAAAACAGCCGATATAGAAATAAATGTCCATCTCAGCAAAAGGTACCGCCTGAACATTTTTAAAAGTCTAAATCTTACCATTCAAACCTTAACTTGCTACAATTCGGAATCTCGTGAATCTCCATATAAACAGTAAATCATAATAATGAGATCTATCTTTCAACATTTACATTATGTATTTTTTTTTACTATGTTCTATAATAGCAAGATGTGAAATGTAATTATAATTTTATTGCCATGTAATCAATTAATCCATAGAAAATCAATACATGTAATTAAGTATAGCACATTTATCCAATCCCTGATGGCTTGTATGCAGCAAGTACACTTCAACCATGAAGTTTGCTAATTAAATTCAGAGCATTTTGGGGTTAAATCCTTGGTGCATGTAATTCCCTTGAAATGCGCACAGATGGGGCGATCGAGAATGCCAGTGGAAATTTCCATATCACGAAGCAAGCTCTGCCTGAAATATCTGACACAGGGATTCCACTTGTGCCATTTAATAGCAGAGTTGCCCATCAGTGACGTAATAGGATGTTTGTACGCTATCAGGATTTATTTAGAAAACACTGAATTGTAATGACCTTAAATGGAATTTAAAAATCAAGTGAAATTAGCTGGTTTGGGAAAATCCTCCAACTTGGCTATAGTCACAGCTCGGCTATTTTAAACTGCATTTCGCAGTTTAGTGCAATTCAGGGTTTAATTAATTAACTCCTAAACCCTTAAAGTACAAATAGTTGGAACTTAAAATTAATTCAAAATGAATTTTAAATTTTAGGCCGGAATTGGCAAACTGAAAGTTATTGAAAGCACAACAATTCACAATTTAGTGATCGACATTGGGAGTAATGATTATGTTATAATTAAATAATCGACACCAAGGAGCACCATTGCTCCCTATGTCCAATTCTGGGGGCAACAGATAGGGCAATGCAATAAAACTGGAGGAATGTTTGTGATGCAGGTTGGGGGATATATAGAAGATTCCAGATACATTGACTGACCCCACAAACCTGGAGAGATGCAAGATAGCTGCACTAACTCCATATTACTCACAGCTGGGGGCCGTATAAGACACAAACCCCAGGAACAGACACCAACCTCCATACTACACACAGCTGGAGCTCTGAATAAGACACAAACCCCAGGAACAGACACCAACCTCCATATTACACATAGCTGGAGCCCTGTATAAGATACAAACCCCAGGAACAGACACCAACCTCCATATTACACACATCTGGAGCCCTGTATAAGATACAAACCCCAGGAACAGACACCAACCTCCATATTACACACATCTGGAGCCCTGTATAAGATACAAACCCCAGGAACAGACACCAACCTCCATATTACACACAGCTGGAGCTCTGTATAAGGTACAAACCACAAGAGCATGCACTAACTCCATATTACACACAGCTGGAGCCCTGTATAAGGTACAGGCACCATTCTAACATTACACATTATGACATAGAAACATGAGTGTGGCAGTATATAAACAGTACAAGTCTACCTACCGGTATGTACCATCCTTGCCTTGCTCCACGTTCTGCTGGTGATGGCAGTGATGGTTCTAGCGGTCCTTTCTCTCATCAGAAGGATGCTAAAGGTTTTCAGTATCCGAGCCATGGTGCAGTCAGAGTTAATGCAGAGAATGGTCTGTCAGTATACAGCTCTGCCTGCTGCTGCCTCTGTCTGTGTACTCTCACTGTGTGTAATGCTGCTGTCACTCCCCCCCCGTGACGTCAGCCCAGCCAGGATGGAGATGGAGTGCAGTGGGTTAAAGGGCATTCCACGACTCATGTTGCTGCAGCAATGTATCACTGTGTCTGCAGTCATGTATCATTCCACAAACTGAGGAACATGAACCTTCATAGAACACACATTCCGCAGGACTGACCTCTGTCTGCTGGGATCAGAGATAAGAAAAAATACACAGCAATATAACTCTATTATCGTAGCTGCCTCTTCAAGTCCTATAAACAGAAATTCAATAATAACAGTACTGTTGTTGTTATTATTATTATTTATAAAGCGCCAACAAGTTCCGCAGCGCTGTACAACGGGTGGTCTAACACAGTGATCTGCAACCTTTTAGCACCCTCAACGGTCTGGCGAAAAGAGGAGAAACATTTCGTAGACCAGTGTCAGCCAGAAATAAAAACCAATAGTATGTGTGAGGAATGCAGTGTGTATACGGGGCAGTGTGCGTGTGTATGGGGGCAATTGTGTGTGTAAAGGGGGCAGTGTGTGTAAGGGGGTTTGTGTTGTATGAGGGCGGTGTGTGTGTGGGGGTAGTGTGTATGTATGGGAAGCTGTGTGTGTATGGGGTATTGTGTGTGTATATAGGCATGGGGGCAGTGTGTGTGTATGGGGGCAGTGTGTGTGTGTGGGGAAGGTGTGTGTGTGTGTATAGGGGGCAGTGTGTGTATGGAGGGGTAATTGTGTTTGTATGAGGGGCGGTGTGTGTGGGGTGTGTGTGTATGTATGGGGGGCAGTGTGTGTTTGTGTATGGGGGGTAGTGTGTGTGTATAGGGGCAGTGTGTATAGGGCAGTGTGTGTCTGTATGGGGAGCAGTGTGTGTATACAGGGGTGTGTGTGTGTGTTTGTATGAGGGCCCGGTGTGTGTGGGGAGTAGTGTGTGTATGTATGGGGGCAGTGTGTGTGTGTATGGGGGTAATGTGTGTGTGTATAGGGGGGCAGTGTGTGTATGGAGGGTAGTGTGTTTTGTATGAGGGGCGGTGTGTGTGGGGGTAGTGTGTGTATGTATGGGGGCAGTGTGTGTGTGTGTATGGGGGTAATTGTGTGTGTATAGGGGGCAGTGTGTGTATGGAGGCTAATTGTTTGTATGAGGGAGGCGGTGTGTGTGTGGGGTAGTTGTGTGTATGTATGGGGGGCAGTGTGTGTGTGTGTATGGGGGGGTAATTGTGTGTGTATAGGGGGCAGTGTGTGTATGGGGGGTAATTGTGTTTCTATGAGGGAGCGGTGTGTGTGAGGGGTAATTGTGTGTATGTATGGGGGGCAGGGTGTGTGTGTGTCTGTATGGGGGGAGCAGTGTGTGTGTGGGGTTGGAGGGTAGATTAATAAATATATATTTTTTTTAATTTAAAAAAATTGTCATTTTCATATCCCTCCTCCGTGCTTACCTTTGCCTGGGAGGGGGGACAGTACAAGGCAATCCCTGGTGGTGTGGTGGAGAAGCCCTGGTGGTTCCAGTAGTGAGAGTGAACTCAGGAGCTGCTAGAGTTCACTCTCATGAGATTCAGAGCATTGCCATAATAACTACGGCAACGCTCCAAGCTCGTGAAAGGGGAACCCGGCGGGGCTGCAAGTTAGAGTCCTCTCTATGCCAGGCCTCTATTGTAGAAGGAGAACATGTAAACATTTTAGGAGATGTATCAATTCACCAAGCTATACACTTAGAGCCATTCCCGAGACAATGAGTTTTACCTTGACTATACCTTAGTGGTTGGTCAGCAGTCAGCAGGAGAAGCAAGTGGCCCAAATTTAAGACCCTGTAATTGATCAATTATGGAGGGACCACCCTGCTGAACTACAGCAACTTCTTAGAAGAGAATCGAACACTTTCATATTGAAAATGGGTTGTTGTGTTGAAGTCTAAAATACTGGATGGAAATAAATGGTTCTCCCTTAGAAGTACAGAGGAACGGTGCTCAGATCTCTACATGATCACCATGTTCATTTAGGAATAGATAAGGCCATTGGATTGATACAAGACCGATTTTTATTGACCCAGAATGAGAGAATCTGTTGAGATATACTGCCGGAAGCGCAGAAAATGTATTCAGTGAAAGACATTGCCTACGTGCGATGCTCACATGGGTGACTTAAAGAGTTAGAGTTCTGGTCCTATGGATCTAGTATGTATGGACTTCCTATGCACTGAAGCTGATTCCACAGGGACTAGTAATATATTAGTGATCATGGATCATTTTACTCACTATCCTCAGGCTAATCCCACATAAAACCAGAAAGCTGCTACAATTGTGCTGGCAGAAATTCCTCATCCAAAATGGGCTTCCTAACTGCTTGCATTCTGATCAAGGTTGAGATGTTGAGAGCAAGATCATCAAAGAATTGTTGAAATGATTGCAAATTGAGAAATCTAGAACAACTCCATATCAACCTCTAAGAGGGGTTCAGCCAAACCTTGTTGTATGTGTTGGGCTCTCATAACGATGCTGAGAAGAGGACCTGGAGTGGACACATAGAAACTATTGTCCATGCTTACAACTGTACCAGGCATGAATCCACTTGGTATTCACCCTAATTTGTTATGTGAGAGGCAAGGCTTCCTTTTGATATTTGTCTTGGACTATGTATGACATGAGTCATGTGTCCCACTATCAATTTGCCAGAGTTCTGAAAGAAACTCTTCAAAAAGCTGATTAATTGTCTGAGCAAGGTACCATCAAGACAAATGAGAATAACAATCGACGATATGATACCAAAGTATGAATACTTACAGGGATATTATGTCTGGAGAGAAGTTCTTGAAAGATACCTGGGAGTCCCTGGGAAGCACAAATTAGCATACAGGTGGATAGACACTAGGGATGTGCATGGGCAAAAAGTTCGGTTCAGGACTTCGGCACTTCCGAAATTCGGGACTTCGGCACTTTGAGACTTTGGCAATTCCCTACCCCTAACCACCATAACCACTTACACATTTAGGGGTAGGGTTAGGGTTAGATTCCTGTCATTATTCACGTAATTTTCCCTCCCTCTCGTGTTTTGTCACTTTTCAGAAATCCAAAGTGTGGTGTATCACCAAATTAATATATATATATTACACAAGGTTCGTTTACATTAAAAGGTATTTATTAAAAGGCAACAACACAATATTATAAATGTATCACAAACACACAGCCCAGACCCACGGAGCAACAACCCTTTTTAAATCTATCTATATAGTAACCCCTTCCACACACGCTTGATCTCACCCACGGTTAGGCCTTCACATCTAGTAATGGCTCACTGCTGCAAGTTCAACATCACCAAGGAAGAAAAGGAAGCAACAGAGTGTAACATGGTTCACCATGCTAGCACATGGTGTCTGCACATCTGCTCTGTAGCACAGCCAAGAAGGAACAGAGAGGAATGGAGAAAGGGGGGAGTGGTTATCTCTTTCCTGACTTGTAAAGGTATTGAATTACCCGGTTACCATTTCAAAAGGTAAAGCTTATCCCACTGTACATGAGCTTGGTCACGTGATCCCTAGTCACCATATTAGTTTGATGACAGAATGTCACCACACAAAGCACTTCGGCACATCCGAAATTCAGTGGTTCAGCACTTCCGAAATTCAGCAATTTGGAAGCGTCCGAATTTACATTCGGAACGAAACAAATTGCACATGTCTAGACACACTATTTGAGGTTGTCACCAAAATGGATGGAATTCCTGTGTACATAATCAAAGATTCCAAGGGTAGAATCAAAGCTTGGTACAAGAACCATTTATTACTCGTGGCCTTTGCTGAAGAGGACAGCATTAGTAAAAGGAACCGTAATCTTCCTCCTTATCCAAATGATAATTTTGAAGATGATTATCCTAGAGAAGGTCCCAGTAAGTTATAACCAAGTAGTGGACGAGTGGAGAAACCTATCCCTAGATCTTTATAGGTCCCCGCTGTTTGCCATAAAAGAATTTAAATAAATAAAGTCTACTTACTTTTTTCCATTGTATTCAATGCTCTCCTATGGGATTCCACATCATTTGACCAAGTTTTATTCATTGCAGCAGAATCACTTGTAGTTGGCTGTATGGTACTCTATCTTGTTACTTCCTGGTTTGGTTAGCTCAGTGGAGCTAAACTCAAGAGGCAGCAATTGTTCAGAGCACCTACCTTGAGATGAAATGGTCTGGGTGACTATAGTGTTCTGTCCCTTAAATCCAGCACTTGTGCAGAACTTTGTCCCAGTCAACCGACACTGTGTGACAGAGCTGCTGTTTTTCATGTCATATATAAAATAATGAGATTTGAGACATATGGTGTAAGGAGTCTTTGGGTGTAGGTCCTCCATTTTAGTTTTGTGTGGTTGAACAAATACCTGGCTATACCATCACCCAAAGTTTTACAGTTATATTAATGATATTGCATACAACTTCCATTACAGTAAAATATGTTGGAGATTAGACAGTAAACGGATACCTTGCAGTCTGAGACCTTCTGTTGAGTGGCAGAACTTTAAGTGTCAACAAAATGGAAGGACCGTCGCCATTACAGGACTTCCAGTTCAGAAGGGGGTGATGATCTAAGCTCTGTTTTAGGTGTGCTCTCCTTTGTGTCTGTTTCTTCCTAGCCATTTTTGTTTTGCTTCTGTTGGTGTGAATACCTTTCAAGCTGCCACAATTACTTTGGAACCATCAGGTATGCTGACACTAGCATGTTACCTGACCTCTGCGATCTCTTGCTGACACCAGTGTGCATGGAAGTTCAAGTGACACTTTGTATCTGGTTTGTCAAGGCTGAAGTCAGGTTTAGGCAGACATTGTCATGACAACTGCATGTACATGACTTATACTTGTACTCCAAAGTTTAATGTTTCAAGTCTAGGAGGAGTCTGTCCACAAATGTTCAAAAGTCAGTTGAAAAATAATTATACGCGGTCAGTTTAAAACCATTTCTTGAAGCTGGCCTACACTGCGACTATCCACAAAGTCAACTATGGCTTAAAAAAAA